GTAGGCCAATGGAAATTGTCAACCCATGTCACGTGAGCCAATTCAAGAAGTGGGACAGTCACGTGGCACCTAAATCGAGCTCAAGAAATGAGGAAAAGACAATGACACAATCTATTGGTTCAACAACCATATTGATTCTAGACCATTGAGAAAGTAATGGCCTTCAATTGATCCCTTTGTGAGATGAAACATGAGGAGAAAAAGACTTTTTCTTCTCTCTCTTCTCTTCTGACAAATAGCTAACCAATGTGACTAGAAATGAGTTGACTAAAATAATATATTTTACTCAATCATCAATGCTATTAGAGTTCAAAAAAAAAAAGGAAAAAAAACTTCATATAGTCATTTTCTTGGGCCAGCTCCAATCTTAGATGCTTGATTTCATGATTCAATAAAAATCACATGTTACCACACTATCACCCTTGTGGTCTTATTGTCGATCAAGGTTTATGTTAGGAGATATAAGGTGACTTAGGCCTATAAGGCTCCCAATATTTGTAAGGGGAGAAGGGGGGAGGGGAGGGGGGGAGTGGTTGATCCTATATTATAATGAGATTAAGTTATGCCTACATTTGTCTTTGATTTGTCCTATTAGGAGTAACACATGTTGTGATGTGGCCTGCCACAAAACATGACAGCTTGTTTAGTGACATCCATAATTTATAGCAAGGCAGCCTAACTTGATGCTTCCTTATTTCTACTATAATATTCTCTTCTTATTTTATCAAGTTATTTTTTTCTTAACTACAATCATTGCCTCAACCACATCTCTTTTTTAGTTACAAATTGTTGGCTATCTTTGTCTTGCGCTACATGTGATGGTCTTGTGATGCTTCTATTACACTAGTGATAAGTCTTCATTATCATGAGTTAATAATTAGTAAATAATATAGTTTTAACCTTAACTTATGATAAATAGAATTATATTTGTATTAAAGTGTGAAAAGTGATTTTTAGTTAATTAATGTAAAAGTTTGGATAATTATGTGATTTTATACAAACTTATATGATTTTTACAGTCTTATTTTTGAGATAAATGAAGAAAAAGAAATTAAAAAAAATGTAACAAAATAGGGGGTACTCGTTGGCCAGCTGAGCCCATAAGTGGGTCAGAAGTACAATCAAAGAGGAGTTGCGAACAAGGACTCGAGTAGCAAGGACGATAGGGGCACATGTGCACCACTCCCCTTTCATGTCACTAATGGCCAGCCAATTGTGGGGCAAGGAGTAGTCGTACATGCAGGAGAAAGAGACATGCTTGCAAATGTAATATTACTATATATTCGCTTGAAACTTTGACACATAAGTGATGTGGGACTAAACCCGCATCACACCTTCTCCTGAAAGGCTTTGATGATTTTAATACCTATAATACCCCTTATTTATAACAAAGATATATTATGATAACATCACTTGATAAGAGTATTAGACTATTTATTTCAATTTCTCTCATGTAGGCGGACAACTAACGGAGGTTTGAATCCTTGTAGAGCCAAAACTCATATTTTTATCTGATTATCATAACTTTTATGATCGCTGGTGAAGGATTAAGTTGCCAGAATTACTGGATCATCGGCGAAAATCTTGTCAATGCGATTGGCAGAGCATTGTTACTAAAATTGCTGAATGATTTGTGATAAAAGGATCACAAATCAATCGAGTAAATTATCTCCGATTAATTGACGAACAAGTCATCGTCAGAAAGAGGACGATCCACTGAGAGACGAGTCGTCACCTCTTGAGAGCATATCGGATGCAATGAAGAACTTGCTCTTGCTGCGCGGACTTGAAGATGAAGCTCCTTGACACGTGGTCCACCTCCATCCAGCCCCTCTCCATTAGATGATAGTCACCAAAGAGCTGCAAAGTTGTCTTTTTTCTGTTTTACTAGGTGACAATCGCTAGAGATGATTCGACGACTCATTTCATTGATCTCTAGACTTTGCAAAGAGATCTAGAGATTGCTCATGCTGTTCTTGTCTAAGGAAAGCCTTTGAGTTTGTGGACATTACACAAAGATTTTCCTAAACGCTCAAGATTCTAATGCATTGCCAACACATTGCTGCTACGATGTCGGACTTTGTTTTCTTACTTTCAACTTAATTTTTACTTCATTTAGTAATAATTTATGTGATTTAAATTTACTAAGATATATTTCATTCAATTACGATTCTTTTGAGTTTTATAGATCTTAATTTAATTAATTAAATCGACTGTAATTACTTATGTAAAAATTGTTAGGCAGAACTTTATTTTTGTCTGATTTATATTTATCGAGTGCTAACATCATCTTGACATCCGCACCTTTATTTCTCTTTTTTATAAATTTTAAATATATTTCATTTCATTTCTTAGTATAAAATTCATAAAAAATGGTATTATTTGAGGAAGTTTTTGAATAACTACTTGATATTATATTACATCTCTGTGATCAACTTGAAAAATTATCATTATTTTTAGAAGTTTTATTAAATTATAGTTGATATATTTATTCAAAATACTTCTAAATATTCAAACATTCATATTTTTTAGTTTTATAAATTTTAAATTTACGTGATTTACTATACAACGACTAAGTCACGTCAAACTAGTGACATCCTCCACCTTTTTTTGAGGCTTAACTTAAGTCCACAATTATAAATTTATTATGAAATGACAAAGCTTGCTAATTTTTTAGACATGTTTGATGCTTCAAATATTATGATATATTTTTTTTCACATATTTACATATGGTGTTAATGTGTTTGAGTTGACATAGTACGTCTTTCATTTCAATGTACTGTTGATTGCATGAAATTGTTTTAACTTCTTTGATGAAGTTGAGTCAATATGTCATCATTGATTGTTGGTGGTCCTCCGCCCTTGTGTGCCAATAAACTTTAGCATGTCTTGGAAGATACAAACTTGCAATGACTATCTTTTCCTGTTATGATGAGATGTTCACCTCCAAATATCATTGGAGATACCATATGAAGTTATTAATCTCCTACATGTCCCACTCTTTGGAGGTAATACATCATGTCTACATGGTTTCTTACTACCACTAGATTTGGGCTGACTCCTCCTTGAGGCCTTCTATCACCTCACAGAAACTAATTAAATTGTCTTCCTTGCTCTATCCTCAAGTGCAAGCCTAACATCATAAGCTACTATATTAATATTCTCTAGCCATTCATTTGAAGCTTGGATTCAAGGAATTTTCTCCTACATCTTTCCTAACATAACCTTGATGGCCATGGTTATCTATTCATTTTTCTCTTCCAAGTAGTCAATTCCTCATCTCTAGGTGACACCCTCACTTGCTATACCACCCTCTAGTTTCCTCTCTCTATTGAACAAGAAAAAAGAGAGTAATGATTTGACCTTGAATAAAGCTTTGATATCAATTGACATGAGGTTGATAGTCATATCATGTCGCTACTCATGTCCATAATTGGTGTACTCATGACTCCCATTAGTAGAACTCTGATTGAGAGGCTCAACATAAGGACAACATGTTTTATAATTAGAAATCCCAAGGTGCCAACTGCAAGAAGGGTTAGATACCATACTGTTAGTGTTGGGTTAACTATTTAATCGTAGTTATATGCCATTCTCATGATGTCAATACCATATACCATATGGTTCTTCCAAATCAGTGTGCCACATGAGTTCATTATGTCATGTCTTTCTCATGATATCGTGCATGCCACTCATGTCCCTACTGTAATCTACTGGCCATAAGGTTCTTATGCTAGAAACTCACTCTATTTGGCACTTTAGGTGACAAAATTCCTAAGTATACTCAACACTCACTCAAGATACAATGTGCTTACAAAAGATAGAAGGTTGATAGGTTATGTAAAATAAAAAAATTATGCACTTAGAATCTAGATGGTTAATTTACAACAATGGAACACTTGTCATTTAGTGGATGCCTTTTCTATTTTTTTCTACATTTTCTCACATAAGATGATCTACTCCAATTCTCGAAATGAGGAAAAGAGATAAAACTATAGTAATTAAATTTATTTAGGGGTTAGTGTTTTTGTTATCATATTTATATTAAGGTCATTTTATGATGATGTAACATGCTATTATAAGCCAATATTCCCTCCATATATATATTTATTATTCTTTTAGGTAAATAGCCCCTTCTCATTTACTTATTTTTTAGATATTAACATATTTATTTAGATATTTTCATCAACATTCCCATAGAAAATTATTGTTGTACGTTGAAATGTTTTTTTTCATCAATGGAATTGCTTCATTTTTCTCTTTCATTAGAGTAGATTATGTTTTCCTTGATACTTACAGCATCAATTTTTTGAGAAGTTATTTACATAAAATATTGATTCATGATGGATACAATACTTAAAGACGTAATATTGTTACTCATATTTATTCACTTGTAGGAGTGTGGGGAGGGAGAGGAAGAGAGTAAACGGGGATCAATCTGAACAGACAATTCATGGCTCTGCCACTCCATCCAACTCCATGCGTTCAATCTGGATAATGATCAATCTAAAGGTTTGAATTCTGACCATCAACATATATTTGCCATTTATTTGAACAAAACTACGATTTACCTATGGTGGACGACACTTTGTCTAGGTAATGCGAGGACTTTGTTCGTACTACCACCTTAATTGGCCTATTGGCCACCTCGAGTAAGTAATACAAGATAATTAATATCTTCTTATATATTATAGGTAAATCAGTTTTTTTGAATAGCAAGGCGGTCAATCGCATGATGAACTTTTATCGTCGAACAATCTAATTTTTGTTCTGCCGATACCTTTGGAAACATAAGCAATGGAAAACAGAGCAGAACCAGACGCCCGAAGCCTCCACATTCATGCTCTTCTTACATGATCCGATCGGCAGCTTGAAGCACCAGGAGCTTTCAAAGAATTGATCGAACGAAGCCTATAACGAGTAGCTTGTCATGGCTCAGCACTCTCTATAAGGTCAACTTAGGACATCATGCTGTTGACCTGACCTCCGACATGGGATCTTCAGCTGCTGAGCTTTGTCTTCCATTGGGAGGTCGGGGTCCCCAGAGTCAGCCGCGACTGCTTCTCCTCCTTCTTGAAGCGAATCCCACAGGCATTGCACAGAGACTGCGGAGGATTTCCGTAAAAACAGAGAGTTAGCAGGTTGGTAATGCAAATAAACCCGTTGATAGTAAGGAGTCACTGGATTAATTACCTTCGGGCCGTGCGGCCCGTGCCGCCACAGCGGGGTCTCCGTCCGACCGCACATTGTGCACCACCCGGCCGGCTTCGCCATGCTCTCCGGCCTCCGAAGGAGGCTAGCGACGTCTGCTGCGGGGGTCCGGGGACAGCGGGAGGCGGCGCAGCCGGGGAGAGCGAGCTTCAGAGTACAGTCCACGCCGCCACTATCTCCTAGCAAGCTGAGTAGGTCCTCCTCAACGGGGTACTTGGGTTTTCCATCGGAATTGGGTGCAGGGGAAGGAGAGGCTGCGCCGGCGAGGACAGCGGAAGCGAACTCCATGCCCAAAAGTAGGGAACCAGAAGCTTTCTTCTGCAGGAGGTAATCAGGCAGTGAAGAACTGGTGGGACTAAGGGGTACGATGCATGCAGTGGATGCCGGGTCGGTGGCTTTGAATGGTGACCTGTGTTCTTGCGGACGGACCAATGTATATAGACCCGCAGAGTTAGAGAGAGAAAGAGAGGCCGTATGGAATCTTAGGTGCTGATGGGCTCGAGTTCCCATCGGATTTTCTCGTCTGGATCGACGATAAAGCTCTTGCTAGTCAAATGCCCGTATCGGGGTTCTCTTCCTTTTGGCCTCTACCGAGGCCGGAGGAAGCCCGACGATGGAGACAGCAGAACACAAGGAATGCCTAAAGGTTGTTCTTGTACCTCGGTCTCCACATCACCTCTTTCTCCTGCCCCCCTACCTACTTATTCCATCGTCATTTACTGTCCATCATCCAGACTTCCATAAGGATCCCCGCCGGATCGAGACATCCCGAGATATTAGAGATCGACGCCGGCCTATCTCTCTCTCTCTCTCTCGCAGATCTGTTTAGAACTCTCGAGGAATGGGATCTCGAGATCAGGGAAGGCTCGGCCATGGTGACTCAACAAGGGATTTGGTTCGTTCTGGGACGCCGCAGCGCCATGCAAAAGGCGGCAAGGCGCTGCGACCGTCGCACTTTTTGACCGGCCACTTTATTTATGCGAACGGAGAGAGGTATTATGGGCGAGTTGGGAAGAGGAGACCTGGAATGGTCGGAGTTCACCCCCCCCACTGCGTGGGGATCTTCGCTGGCCGGCTCGCCGCGACCGCTGCGTTAGAGGCCGACGTTCGTTGTTTCTCTTGGGGATGATGGCCATACTGTTGTTTACTGGGAAATAGAAAGGCCTCCTTTCCTTTTTTTTTCAAGTTAACATTTTGAAACATCAATAACAAGAGAAAATTCACCATCTTTACTGAATTTATAAGCAAGCCTTGAGAAATCTGACGCAATAGAAGACAAAAAAAATCCGAATGGAATCCATGTCGTGAAATATATCAGTTATGCTTTATTTATGTTCAAGAGACTTTCATTCTGTAAGTCCTTCAAAGATATCGGTTTCATCTGGAAACGAGTTCGTAGTCTCATTATATTCCTTCGGAAACTTATCCTTTCATAACCTTCCTTTCCAAAGCAAAGTTGTGTTCAACAGGTTTCAATTACCTTCTTATTATAAATATTTTTAATTGAACGAATGAAAATGTCGAGGATGATCTTATATTAGGGCACGAGTATCTTTTGTCCCTTTGTGTTTATCCTAACCCTGTGGTATAAGAGGGGGGAAGCTGCCTCCTCTTTGGTGTGTGTTGAGCGTCTGTAAGCTTTCCATTCGATCTCGTGGTTTCCTAACAATTGATATTAAAGCAGTTTGAGAGGAGTGAGAGTGGAGAGCACAACGTACGTAGGTGGTACCTCATGCGAAGAGGATAGGGCACTAGCACGGGGAGTCGCCTTGTGCAGAAACACTATGCGGTAATAACACCGCCACAGACAGAAGCATGATACCGTGCAGGAACGACGCCTGGATGAGGAGTAATGTGAGAGCGTGACATTGTGCAGCACTTGCACAAGAGTGGATAAGATGGAGAGAGAAGATCAGTCTCCTTTGAAGATCAGCCTCCAAGTAGGAGATTACTAGAAATGTGAAGAATTATCTTGAATTAGGGGTATGAGTGTCTTTTGCCACATGTGTTTACCCTAATCATGTCGTATAAGATGGGGAAGCTGCCTCCTCTTTGGTGTCTGTTTAGCACCAACCAGTGTGCGCCCCAACTTAGATCTATCGTGGTTTCCCAACATGAACAAATAAATTATTCAATAAATATGATATTATACTCTCTCCCGTTACTACCCTTTGCCATTTATATTCTTCAGTGGTTTTCATCTATGCAATATCAACGTTCTAAAACCATTATTCTAACCCGAGAAGTTGAATCTAGAAATTAAAAAAAAAAACTCTACACCAGATGGTGCCTTATGCAATTAATGACTCATATTTTTCTTGCATTCTTGTCTAGGGAAGGGAGAGGGTGAGAGGGGAGAGAGAGAGAGAGAGAGAGGCGAATGACCCAAAACATGCGGCCAGGACTAGGTTACTTTCGGTCTATACCCTTCATCAGCTTGCTCCACTCAAGACCCATGACTAATTATGAATTGGAAATCGGGACTATCAACGGTTTGCGGAGCCTGAAGATTAGCAGGGGAAGATTTACCTCTCAAAGGATGATCACGGCGAGGGGGTGTGAGAATCTGAAATAGAGATGGACACACTGTAAATACTCTCTAGCACCACATTAGACTGAGTATGAATATGCTGTTTTATGGATATTTTAGTCGCAGGGTTGGGCATGAGTTATGTTCTCCAAAATCGTGGATGACCTTTACTGTAAGATTGCGTATGCACTTGGGTGATAAGTAGTGGGAGTGTTATGGATATTTGCCATGATATGAAAAAAAAAATGGTTATTCATAATTATAGTACCCAATTGACGTCCCATATTTTGAACAAAAGTACTAAAGAAGGGGCAAATCACTCCATTTGAGCAAAAGTAAAGAGGTGGTAATTTCCGGATTATTTCCTCAATTGTTCTGATCAACCTGTTGAAAAATCTACTTGCATATTTTAAATTATACACGTGACAGATCGATGCACACGTGGTCCACATGATTAAAATGCTACCCCAACCCCTCTCGCCACGTCAGATGTGAACGTTATTATTCTGAGCTCGACTTTGGAGGACCTCCGAGAACGCCGGGAACCTCTCAGTGTGAACTGCCTCTAGTGGCAGAAGGCGCAACCAAGACGTGGCATTATTTCATTGGCCCTATTTGCTATCCACGGTCTCCTCCGACGGCTGGAGAGGCGCACATTCGGACAAGCGATCGTCAGCAGTTTCTATTGGCTCGTCTGCCTTTAGCCCTTTTGCATTTTTCCTGCCCCTAATCGTCGGGATACAATGGCGGCGGCTTCCGGTAAAGTTGATTTCACGAGTGCTGCCCGCCGCCGACGATTCGGAGCCGTCGGTGGAGCGATCTCCGTCCCCACACCGGATGGCCGGCGCCGCCGAAAGCCAGCAAGATGACGCGGAGGGTCTTACCCTGTCTACGCCACCGGTTTCGTCTTTTATTCTACACCCTCTTTGTTTTTTATTCATTTCCCACCTTCCTTGCAGGAAGAGTTCTTCATTCTCCTTATCTACCTGCACCGTTTACCATCTCCTTGTGATGAATGGTTCAATGATATGCGTCACAAATATGACCTAGATACTGTCTGATCTTATCAGAGTAAATTATGACAAAATTATTTTGAAAATCTTATCTCGCATTCTCCTCCCAGTACTGTAAGACCTTGGAACGGGGGCTTATACTGTTAAGATAATCTCCCATGAATAACAGATTGAGTTTTACATGACTTGCGTCAGAGAGTTTTCTATCGACTTTCAATCAGACGCTCTGGTTATTAAATGCATTACACAGCACAAGGGACTGGCTACGAGAACTGGACCAAGTCCCTGAATGAGATGTGCTGAAAGCCCTCGTTAAATGGACGAATTGGGAGGTTCACGGATTCAGAAGACGACGCTTTTGTTTGTCCTTTAGTTTCGTCCATCAGTTCTGGGCCTCGAGAAGTCTAACCTAACGATTCTTCTTCAACACTCAAGAGGGATATCTTTATCCATGTGGTCGCATTATATCGCTTTCCTGGACAGGTTTAGGTCGATATCCTGTTTAGTACCTTTTTTCTGCGTTTGTGTAGCGCTCTCATACACGATGGAACACCTTGTTTTTTCTTCACATCGACCTGTATCTACATTTATGTGGAAGATCATAGAGGAAATGAGGGTAGAATCGGTTTCCAACTAGGAAAATGATTGATTAGGAATTATAGCATCACATGGACAGGGACTGTCCACAAGTAGACAGACTGTATTGCCCCCACATGGGTGTCGCAAGAGATCGGTCTTCTTTCACACAACGGACAAGCATTTATCATTACACGTGCAAGTGTCACCCCAATTTTTTTTTCCCCAAGCAAGAGGACGATCCGAGATGAAGACCGTGATAGTTCCATGCACGGTACCCGTGTGGCGGACGGAAATGGTGGATAATGTGGTTTTAGAAGACCGGGAACCCGAAGATATTGTTCACATTATTTCTGTTAGGGATCGAGCTTGACCCAGGGCTTCCTCGCGAAGTTATGGATTCACTAAGATCGTGAAGCCCAGCTGGTGCTGACGCCAGCTGAGATCTGTAAAGATGAAGCCTAAACAAGGTTAGGAATATATTCCAGAGATAAAATTATCTACGGAAGTGGTCGGATTGATTAAAACAGTTGATTCACCATGCTAACTCCTTTGAAAAGAAAACCGGTGTGTGAACAGCACCGGGGGGGTGGCGCCCTTCCGAACATCTTCAGCATCGTTTCAGGCAGGTGAGAGCCGTCCTACCGTAGAGATAACATAGAGGTCCCCCTTTCCCAATCTTGGTTCCCTATAAAGGTTGAGGGTGCACCCCCCCTGTACCCGACGCTTCTTTGGTCTCTCCTCCGCTTCCTCCCACTCCATCAGCTTTCTGGGTACCAACCACGAAGAATTTTTTATTTCTTCACGAGAGAGTTCAATTTTGCACTCTGGGCAACCAGCAAGATCCCAAAAACACCGACGTGTTTCAAGCGTTTTTTAGGGCTATTCTGATTAGTTCGCCGCAAATACGATCACTCCGTCTTCTGCGGTTCTTCTGATCGGTTTGCTTCGCATATCCCCAGCGGAACCAATCAAGCATCCACTGGTCTCCTCTCGTGTTAGATTAAAAGGAGGGAGGAGGGGATAGGATCTTGTGGCTGTAAAACCCTTCGAATCCTGGAAGAATGATCCTGACGTCTGACGGCTATATCCTCTGCGCGATCTGCTCGTCCGTTCAAGGATTCATCTGCGGCGAGACGAGCTTCTATTTTTGGATCTTCCATGTTCTCAATAGACACAGTGTGGACACTTAGATCTCCCGTTCACATGCTGTTCATTCCTCGTAGAATATAACTTCGTCTCCTCGTGATTTCTTTTTTTTATTTCTGGTCACCCTGGGAGGAATGGGCACCTTGACTCTCCCGCCCGGCTTCCGTTTCCACCCCACCGACGAGGAGCTGGTGGGATATTACCTGAAGAAGAAAGTGGAAGGAGAGAAGATCGAGCTCGAAGTGATTCCAGTGGTGGACCTCTACAAGTTCGATCCATGGCAGCTGCCAGGTATCTCCTTCCGTTTTATCTTTCGCTTAGATATAATCCTCATTCCCTCACAGAATTATATACCCCAGAAGATGAACTTATTCTCCTCGCTGACGCAGAAAGATCTTTCCTTCCCGGGAGAGACATGCGGTGGTTCTTCTTCTGCCCGCGAGACAAAAAGTACCCTAACGGATCCCGCACTAACAGAGCCACCGGATCCGGCTACTGGAAGGCCACCGGCAAGGACCGGAGGATCGTTTGCCCGCCGGTGACGGCGCTCAAGAAGACCCTTGTTTTTTATCGTGGAAGGGCCCCCGCCGGCGACCGCACGGAGTGGGTGATGCATGAGTACCGCCTCTGTGAAGAGCTCCCACAGGGATTTACTAATTTTGTGGTAAATGTTCTCCGTTTCCCTTAGAGTCCTAAATTCCTACATAAACTAAATAGTGCAATCAAAGTATAGATTTTAATTGGATAACTGATGAATTTCTCATTAAGCAGGATGAAAAAATCTCGAATGTGGTATCGATTGCTTATCGTTCGTACAATCCGTGTTCTGAAGAGAGTTTAAAAAACTAGCCAGTTAGAAAGAATAGATTGTCAAATAACAAAGCATCAAAAGATGTAGATTAAACTATATGATCAACAATACGAATTTACCCTACTAATCGTCAATTGTAACATTGAGTAAATACTTTCTTCAGGGAGCTTTTGCTTTGTGTCATATCATGAAGAAGAACGAACACAGACAAAAAACTACTGATAGTACCCTAGCAGACTCCAAAGACAAGAGTAACTTCTGTTCTGAGATGGAAGACTCCATCCCCGCAAGCTGCATCGGCGAGAGCCCAAGCGTCTACCAATGGAGTCCGACAACTTACGGGCACGGAAGTGAAACCCATCTGCAGGCTCTTGGGCTCGGGTGTGGTGTTGGATCTGCACCAACGGTGGAGGATTCGCCCCAGATCTCATCGGGACTTCCACTTCACAACTCCTGGGAGCCCTCACTCGGGGCTCCGCCGGTGAGCTATAGCGGAGGATCAGGAGACCTGCCGATGACTTGCCCTAGTCCACTGGGCAATGCCATGGAATTCTGTCGAGTTGAGGAGAGTGATGAGCTTCAAAGCTTCCAGTGGGAAGACCAGGGAACCTCATGTCAGCCAATGAACGGTAAGGAGTAAACAAGAACTGATGCCTCTGAAGCTCGATAAGGCCAGTAACCCCATGGTTATCTCTCTCGCTTGGTTCACAGGTCTCGATTCCTGGGCCTTCACGGTGCCTCCGATATGCAGGCAAACCAGCGGCGATGGAGGGGAGCTGGCCAACCTCTGGGCCTGGGAGGACTCAGCAGGTGCTCGCTAGAATGCCTCATCCAAACGGAGATGCACTGAATGACTCCTTCCTAGTAGACTGCTAGTAGTAACCTTAATACTATTTCAGAGTAAATCCCTCTGCTGCGAAGACTATTTACCATTGCAGACAGAGTTGGTGACCTCACAGTTCCTCCGTATTTGTCCACGTGCGAACTGTCAACGCGTTTCCTGCTGCCTTTGTTGACCCCAGCAAGAGACTATTTCCTCGACGAGAGCCAGACTCCTGTTCAGTGCAGAACTCAGTTGTAATCGTTCAGCTTTTTGTACTTCTCTACTTGTCTTATGTGAAAATATGGTGGCGATTAAGTCAATACGTGACCGACAGAAAACCAAAAGCAGTACATTAATTTCTCCCTGTCCCCTTTGTTTTAGTAGTTTATTTATCACTCAGTTAGCCTTGCCGTTCTCGGTGCCCATTCCAATCGTCATGGTAACCAAGATAGGATCGGGAATCCTGGCTGATTTTGGGACGGAGCCATTCAAAATCTTGAGAAAGTAAAGGGACAGAAAACCTGATTTTTAATATGAATATTTAGTTTAAACTAGGTCATTAATTATTAAATTAAAAGGTGACTTTGTACAAATATGCGTCAAGGAAATACCCATCACAGATGATGGTGGCATCAATATTGGAAATGTTGAAAAATAGAGGTTCATAGTTCGATGAACATTTTTTGTAGATTTTTTTGTAGACATTGCATGGTATTAGCCCAAAACTACTGTCAAATGAGAAATAGAAGGTTTTTAACCCAAGTGGAGGAACTAATAAGATATGCATCAAAAAGGCTAAAAAGTAATAGAATCAAGTGCAATGAAGTTTTAGATCAACTCAAGTGAAGTAAAGACTCAAGAGATGTGAAGACTATCTTTTGCCTAAATTCAGCTTTCAATGGTCCACTAAGAGATTTGGTCACATGTTTAGTGAACCTAAATCTTACAATTAAAGTTTAATATCCCCCTATTCTTTTTAGGATGTTTCTATTTCTTAGGGGCCTTCTAACATAATCCTCCTTTTTCATAAGAAGGTTTAATATGTTTTCTTCCCTATTTTCTATGATCATAATAGATTTCCCCTTTTATAAGTTAGTTATAATTAATTTTCAGCCTATAAATGGTCTCCCCTTGTACCCTCAAGAAGGCACATTTTTATCAATCAATTTTCAAGTTCCCTTCCTTTTTGGAGGTTCTCTCTTTCTACTGGTGGATTCCAATATCCCTATGGACTAAGGGAGCCATTTTCGATTTTGTGGACTCAAGATTAACCCCTAGTGGACTCAAGGGGTGAAATCTCTTCATTCTGTGAATTCGAGTAAGGATTTTTTCAACCAAGACAAGTTCTTTTTAAATTCAAGACCATGATTTTGTGTCATTGCACTCATCTACTCATTAGTGCCCTTTAGTTAAGAAAAGCTAGGAGTCCCTAGATTGAGTAAATATGAATGAAGTACGATAGATGTATACATAGTAAGTATTATAAGTTAATAATTCCCAATATTATTGGTATTATGCCTCCATTACCTAATAATTTAATAAAGGTTTCAATAGTTTCTCTTAAGGTGTGTATCCATGGTACAAGCTTTGAAGGAACTCCTGAGTTACCACCATAAGTTGATTCTTCACCAAGAAAGTATTGAATACTTTTGATACATTTTGGTATTCTCAAGTTGTTAAGATATAGAGTATGACTAATTGAGCCAAGGTTTTGGGTGCATGGAATGAGTTTCTAGTGTCAAGATATAATTGATTCTTTTGGGTTTATTACATGAAACTATTTTGTCTCACATCTGCCAATTCATACTTTCAATATTTCTATCCTATATTGAAATTTTACAATTGAAAATAAATTTAGAATCACCTATCACATGTTTACTTTATCTTAAACAAGATAAATATGTTACAATGTATCTTCTAATGTACTATCTAGAATTTGGGCTTTATTACGATAGCAAAATAGATAGTGCACACTACATGAGAACATCAATTGGCTCTAATATTAATTTTTTATCCAGCTTAAAGTCTATTGACAATGAGACGTACATATATCTACAAAATTATAGGTTTAATTTTGTGGTTAACTAATACAAGGCTATATTTATTATATGTCCTCACTTTGAAGCCAAGACATCTGAGCTTTGTCATGTGGATAAAATAAAATGAAGTGAATGCAGTCCACAACGACCAACAACTATTTGACACAACATAAGTCGTAGAAGAACAGGAAATCAAGTCTTGAATTCACAAAACACTAACTTTAACTAGGCAAAAAAAGTACTTGTGATGTTCCTATAAAATAAGATCAATAAATAAAATAAATACAAAATGACTTAACTGAAAAGTATTTACGAAGCCCTAAAATGTGATGTCTTATTCGTACAATTTATTAGGCTTAATCTCATTTTTAGGACTCCTCATAATTGTAGCCCACGGTTACATTTTCAGGCTATTTGTGTCGCCATTTTTTTACTCTCATTCCTTTGAGTGGTGTTCTACTTCACTATTATACCAAATGAAAGTTATCAAGACATCTAACCTATAAACATTTATCTATCAGCAATTATTTTCATAGATGAGATGTTACTTTGCTTGGGCGGGATCATCCCATCTTACTCTTAAGCCCCAACGGAAGAGCGGGGCTATTCCACGATCCTGTCCTTGCCAAGCCCATCAACACTTCGGCTGATAAAGAGTGTGAAGGAACTTAGGTGTCATGAGAGCCCACGGGAGTGGGAAGAGTGGCCTCCTTATGTGTGCCCCTCCGGCAGACATGACGACGAGACTGGGGGACAAAGACTCTCCGAGTTTCCCTTTGAGAGACGTTCATGTATTTGTGTATAGTTACTCACCTACCTGGTATGTGGTATGCTTGTCTACCCCAGCTTCCTTTTGTCGACGTCAATTTGAATTTAATGTTGTCCCGCACTGTGGACTCCCTGCAATCGGCCGCTCTAGCGAGGTCCCCCCCCGCTCCTCAATGATCAGCTCTACAAGTAGCGACACGAATATCGCGAAGGGGAGCGCCTCCGAGAGCTTGAGGCTCGTGAGGGCGACCTTGCTTAGAGCCGGCCTCAGCGTCCTCCATCGATCCCCTCTGGAATTTCTGCTCTAGAGGCATGGGGTCATCAGGCTTCAAGCCCTCCGGCACAGTGGTGTCACAGAAGAGTGATTGAAAACACCCAAGAGACAAGAAAGAGAGAGGTGAAGACAGAAGGACACATCAGATTTAATGTGGTTCGGATTATATTCCTACTTCCGCGGTTGCAAAAGTATCTTCTTCTTCCTTCAAGAGTGGAGAACCGTCTTACAGCCCTTAGCGTGGCAGGACACAATCCTCACACAGCTCATCCTTGCACGTGCCATCTACGGCAACTCGGACAAATATTTTAAAAATAACGTGATCTTCGTGAATATCTTCGTCATTTTAAAAATATTTTAAACCTTCTTGTAATTAATATGATAATTAAAAATAATTAAATGAATAAAACATATCTATACGAAGCACCTGGATTTCAGACTGCAAGCAGGCATGGAGGGCTACTACGGCGTAACCGAAGCACCGACCTTCAGATGCTGCTACCATGGAAGTCCAGGGAAGCACCTCGAGCAACTGGTTCTTAGCTCGTGAACAGGGCCTACTCATTCACCGACAGCCATGGTGATATCTTGACAGGGAAGTAAGAAATAAAGAGACTCACAGAGACATACGAACAACATAATAAGCCTCATCTTTGGATTTGGAATCTAACATGGTCAGATAACTTTTCGCCTTCCGATCCTTGCAGGGCTCTTTCCTGACGAGGCGATGTTCGGGTCTAGATCATGAAGCACTCATCAGAGTAGGCTTGAACCCCCAACGTCCGTAATCTCTATCCGATTAAGTTCTAACGGGCACGGCGGTGAGGGTAGACACAGAAAAGGGCCTGGGGCCTGCAGCGGATGGCGATGGTATAGAGGCACTGCCGTGCCTCGTAGTTCTTCTTGATGTGAGGGAGAAACACGGATTCATACCCATGAATCCTTTCCAGGGAACAGAAGATTAATTGCTGCATGAAATGTCGAACTTCTCCTCCTAGCTTCGGAGAAAGCAACCTATGATGAAGCTGGAATTCCTGTGAACACGTCTCGGAAGGTTCGTCCAGACTTATCAGCAATAAACTCGACGAAGAAGACGATGGACCCTGCACAGATGACGCCTAGACTCATGTTGAGTACCTTGGATAGAGTAGCTCATGTCATAGAAAAGAGTAATCCGATGACATGTGGAGGCCACCACTCTCGTCCTCCACGACTACGGATCAACTTTACGACCCCGCCGCAGGAGGCCCACAAGCGCCTGCTTCCATCCTTCACGTGGCTCCGCTCGAAATGGTGCGAGTGCATCGAGTGCACCAACAGTGCAAAGGTTACCTATTTATGCCATGGTAGACGGCAGAACAAAGAAATTTATTTGTGCACAGATGCAATATGAATGGAATGATCATACATTCCCCTTTGAGAAAGGAGATGCCAGTACTGTAAGTGGTCACAACACTGTGGGCTCATTGGCAGCGATGGAGGTTGAAGAGGCCCCAAGCCTCCACTAAAATACGGCTAGAGAAGATTCCTGGAATAGTCCTTCACAAGGGAATACTTGAAAACCAGAGAGTTCCCTTTCGTTGACTTTGGAAGAAACTGCATTATCGTAGGGAATGCTCGAAAACCAGTGAGTTCCCTTTCGTTAACCGTGGAAAAAACTCCATTGGCGTAGGGAATGCTCGAAAACCAGTGAGTTCCCTTTCGTTAACCGTGGAAAAAACTCCATTGCCGTAGGGAATGCTCGGAAACCAGTGAGTTCCCTTTCGTTAACCGTGGAAAAAACTCCATTGCCGTAGGGAATGCTCGGAAACCAGTGAGTTCCCCTCGTTGACTTTGGAAGTAACTCCATTGCCGTAGGGAATGCTAGGAAACCATTGAGTTCCCTTTCGTTGACTTTGGAAGAAAGTCCATTGCTGTGGGAGTCTGGTGTCTTCAAAATACGGTAGTGTCTAGGTTTCTCCCTCGGAATAATTCCATGAGGAATGAGGGCTTAGACTCTGCCAGGTGTTAGGTTAGTGATTTTGAAACGCCATCATAGATGTATCTCATTGTTTCGTTTGAATCTCTCTCTCTCTCTCTCTCTCTCTCTCTCTCTCTCTCTCTCTCTCTCTCTCTCTCTATCTATCTATCTATCTATCTATCTATCTATCTATCTATCTATCTATTTATCCATCGATCTATCTATCTATCTATCTATCTATCTATCCATCCATCGATCTATCTATTTATCCATCTCATGCAGACACGTTGCTGAGGATTGAGTATCATCGTTTCTCCTTCTTACACAACGGAAGTATGATGCAAAATTAAACACGAGAGAGGAATGAGAGAATATCAAGAACAAGATCATGCTTCATTCCAGAAATCGTCCTTGACAGCCCTTTAGTGTCAAAATACCTTCTCACACCCTAATTACATGAGATGGCAGCTCTCCTCTTCTTAAACGCAAGATTAGGGTAAAACTCTATGGGGCTAAAGGGCAAGTATTCCCCTAAAAATTACGTGGTGATGCCCCCTGGACCCATGTACTGACGGAAGAGCCCATCGGAGCTCATTAGGGCCCAATAAGATATCAATCTCCGCAACTCCAACGACACAGATGCTCTGTCTACACATTTATCTATCCGCTTTCCTCACACAAGGCCTTCATCTATAAATTAATTCAAAAGATTATGGGACTCCTCAATAATGTCCCTTACAAACTAAAGATGAGCCCCTTGGTGAATGCTAGTAAAAATTCACGACGAAATTTATATTAAATAGGCTTCAAATTATACGCAAAAAACAATTGTGGCTATTTACCTATATATTTTCATTCATTTCTTATTCATTTGATATCAAAGAGGATAGTTGACTTTGCAATGAACGTATGAATATTACTTCAAATTTTACTTCCTCTCAAAATTTTGAAATTTCTAGAAAATGAATATTCGTGGTCAAATCAGTTTATCAAAGAAATATAGTCCCATGGTTATGTAGATAGGGGTTTACCCACATTACTTAGCGATTTTGGTTTAGATACCGAATATTTTAAAACTCAATATCTCTCCACACGTTAACATTAATAAATCCGGTAAAATAGCTGATATATTAAATTAGAGATGAATAAACAACAAGTTTACAACCACTAGAAAAGTCTTCGTTTACTTTCATGGAACATCAACTGCCACTTTGCACGAAGCATGTACCCTTGTTGAATTACTTCCGCAGCTTCAATAGAATAATAAAGACTAGTGGCTAGGAACGGCAGCCACTCGTCAAATAGACCAAAGCGGGAGGATTATAAGAAATAAATCATATATTTTATTAGCCGTTGGTAATAGTTGGCTGACCAACAGCTTCGTCTATCGTCTGGCAAAGAGTCATCGACGAAATCTATCGAAATCGGAATTATTCAAAATTGTCGATAAACGTCGGATTAGACAGGCTTAGAACTCTCTCACGCGAGTGCAATATTAATTTTTTTTTCTAAAATTGTATTTTACACGAGCTTTGGAGAAACAATACCCATGATGTTTGGATCTTTGCATTATTCGCTAGCGATATTCATCTGATTACCACGCGAGAGAACCGTCGGGGGCGTCGACAGGCGACGCCTTTTATGAAGATTGTTGATCTGTTGCAGAGAGTTGATGACATGTCCAATCCTCAAGGACTTTCCCCCGATTTTCGCTCATGTTAGGAGTCTGGTTCACCTCCACGACAGGATTCCAAATCTTTATGCGTCATAGACGCGATTAAATATGAGGGAATTAGGTTCAGAACAACGAATGCGAGGGAGTGAGCGAGCGAGCGAGGAGAGAGAGAAAGAGAGAGAGAGAGAGAGAGAGAGAGAGTTTCGCTTCGCCTTTTTCCAGCAACCGTGCCTCCATTTCCTCTTGGGAAGCTTCATTTCCAGCAAGAGAGAGTCTCTTGCTGCACACTGCCTCAGCAGCACAACGAGTTCTCTCCACCAGCATTCTGCGTTGTGCAAGCAGTACTCATCTTCATCTTCAGCAGACCTACGAGTCTGAAACTTTACTTCACGAGATGTTAGCACCACCGTGTAGGGTCTTTCCATTCCTCTGGTCCAATGCAGAAGTCGAGACAGCAGCATCACAGCGTATGGCCTCCGCAGTTTTCAGTCCACCAGCACCCTACGGCTACAACTTGGCTTAGATCCGCTTATTTCGAAATCACACAAGAACGTACCAGTTGATGAATTCTACTAATAGAAGTTATCATCTTCCCGGAGATGTCTCGCTCTGCTATATTCTTTCCGACTTGAAACTGTTGGATCTCTGTCCTTTTACTGACACCCGCGGCTGGTGGAAATCATCAGGGGGAGGGGGAGGGCTTAGGAAGAGAGACTGAGGCGGTCGATTGAGCCTCATTCTTCCGGTTCTTTTTCATTCCAAGAGTCTGATTTCCTCGCATGTAAGAAATATTGATTTGCTTCTAAAAGTTGGAGTTGTTACAATAATTACATCCGGAAAGAGATTTATGTGATGCTTTTGTCTCATATTGTTCTTAAATACTTAGTCTAGGCGTTCGCCACAAACCCGTTCCATAGTTTTCCAGTCATGTCGAAAACATGTAAAAATCAATGACAGCATTAAAGTAGAAAGTCCATGACGTTCTGACAAGGAACCAAAGTTAAATGCTGACACATCTCACTGTCGGCAGAAGCAAGAGATCTTGTTGATCAGCAGAGTCGTGAGAGAATTACAGTTGCCCCGTTAATGAGATTAACCGCCGGATGACATAGTCAAACGGACAAAGGCAAGGATGACGGGGGAAAGATCAATGTTTTCCTCTCTCTCTCTCTCTCTCTCTCTCTCTCTCTCGCTTTCTGTGTGAAACGTGAGTCACCAAGAACTCCCTGGCCCATCAACCTGAAGTTTTCCACGGCACAGTCTCACTGAATGTGCTTTTTCTTCTTCAAGAGCCGTCTTCTGTTGTTTTTCTCCATTATGATGCCATTGAAGGCCATATTTTACTGCATGTCGGAGTCCACAAATTGGTCTTCCTTCCATTTCTTAGATAAAAACGGCGACATGGCTATCCAAATCCATAAACTTTATATATTGTAAGAGGATTGAATCAAGATTTTGCTCGAATCTCTCCCGTGACTCTTAGTACACATGTTATATTCGATTAAACTCTGGATAAATAATAAGTTTTGGCGTCCCTATGTATATTAATTGCTCGGAATATTCTTGGAGAAATTGGGCAGAGAAATAGCATACGTTGACTTTCAGCGCTCTACATAAATGCTGCAGGCCACGGTGCGGAATCCCGTTCAAACATAAACCACGACCGAGCCCACAAAGTCTTCTGTTAGTTGATTACAGCTTCAAATGGTTTAATGCTAACTACATTTGACTTCCAAAGTCTCCACCCCCCGTTCATACGGACTACCAGATCCCCGGAAGAGTTCTTTCAAAAGGACTTTGATTTTTGTTTGTTCTTGGCTTGCAATAATTGCTCTTATTCTCATTCAAATCGTCGTCCCCATCGATTATTCCATATATAAGTCTTCCAGGAATGACGTAATCCGGAGCATCGGGTGGATGGATCCAACCCTCTACCTTCGTGGAGCCGGTCCACCCACGAAACCCAGCCACAGCATGATCAGCAAACAAGAACAGCTGGCCGAGATTGGGTGGTGACCTAATTATAATGATCAAGATCCGACCCCCGAAGCAGCACACACAGAGAGAAAGAGAGGACTATTATCAGCTTGTTTTGGGATCATGTGTGCAGAATGTGGTATCGTCGATAACCGTGAAGAAGGTAGGGTAGTTTCCATCTTAGCAGCGGCTATGAATTCCGGAAGAACGCGGTTGTACAGTTGCCGGGTCAGCACTCGCGCTGCCTCGTCGCAACCCGGCGCCAACGATGGGAAGATGATCCTGCTTCCAATCCCTGACAATGAAGCTGTGTTGGACTCACACGGTTGCCCCCTTGAGCGGGAAGAAGACGTAGAATAGGTCTGAACAGTCGCTCAACTGCCGCAATCTCCATTAACATAATAGCACATAGAATAGGGAAGACGGTGGGGCGGTCTCTCGGGCTTTAGGTGGTCTTACTTCACCTCTGGGGGTCCCTTTCTAGGAGAAATAATACGTGAACGATGACCGACCTGGAAAAGTAATTAATAGCGTAAACTACGACTTCGGAGAGTAGTAAATCGATCTTCTAATGGTGGATCTGAAAAAGTCAAACCTACCCACGCAATGACCTCTGGCATCTTTGGAGATCTTTGGGTTTGACTTTGAATTTATGTTGGCTCTCTCTCTCTCTCTCTATCTGTCTGTCTATCTGTCTGACTATCTTTATCAGTTTTGCAACATATATACCGGTTTCTTCCCCCTCCATTAGGCGTTTTATGGAGTCCTATCCACAGAAGCGTGGAACGGAGAAGCCTCATGAGAAAGCCATGGATGTGCCTCTTTTGTTCAAGTGCCCAATCTCCATGGAGCTCATGCAGGACCCCGTGACCATCTTCACTGGGGTGACCTACGAGAGGAAGTACATCGAGAGGTGGTTTTTCACCTACAAGAAGAAGACATGCCCCGCCACCATGCAGCCTCTGGAGAACCTTGACCTGACGCCCAACCACACCCTCCACCGCCTCATTTCATCCTGGAGCAACACCGCCTCGCACGACGGCGCCTCCACGTCTGCGCCGCCCGTCCCGCTCCCGCGCGGCGAGCTCGCCTCCATCCTCGCCGCCGTCGAATCGGGGCCTTTCCAGGTTAGCTCGCTGAAAAAGCTGCAGTCTGCCATAGCCGCGGAGGAGGCACAGATGGAGTTCGTCGAGCTGGGGGGGATCGAGGTTGTGGGCGCCGTCATCTTGCAGATCTTGGCGGTCGATGCCGGAGACTTCGCCGCATTCAGGGCCTGCGAGGAGGCGCTCGCGGCACTGTACCATCTCCCCCTCTCCGATCAGTCATCCGTCACCTTCCTATCGAAACCCGAGTGCATCGAGTCGATGATCATCATGCTCCAGCGAGGAAGCGCAGAGGCGAGGCTCCACGCCATCACCATCCTTCAGAAGGTCGCTGAGAGATCCAGGGACTGGACCCTCTTGCTGGGCGACCAGGACAGGGAGTTCTTCAGGTCCCTCCTCGAACTTCTCTCTGACGACATCGCCGCCAAGGCCAGCGCCGCCGCCCTGGAGGTGCTGATCAACCTGTTTGTCGCCTCCAAGAAGAGCCGGCTCAAGGCCGTGGAGCTCGGCGCCGTCCACCTCTTCCTAGAGCTCCTCCCCGAGTCGACCAGGCAGCGGTGCGAGAAGCTCCTGTTCCTGCTGACGATGCTCTGCGAGCGCCCCGAGGGGAGGTCCGCCTTCGCCGAGCACGCCATGGGGATACCTGCGGTGTCGAAGAAGATACTGCGAGTCTCCGATGTCGCCACCAAGCTCGCGGTGAAGATCCTGTGGCTGATGGGCACCTTCCACCCCACCGAGAAGGTCCTCGACGATATGTTGCTCTTCGGATCTGTGGGGAAACTCCTCATTCTGCTGCAGTTCGACAGCCATGGGTCGACCAGGGAGAAGGTCATGGATATCACCAGGTTGCACTCCCCAAAGTGGAGGCAACACCCGTGTTTCCCCAGCGAATTCAAGGGGATGTCTTGACGACTAACACCCCAACACCCGCCGAATACGACCCTCATTTTTTCTTATAAGATCCAAGCTTCTCCCAAATTTCTTGCCTCATTTTATTTCATGGGGATTCAAAGAACCCAAGTATAGAGAAGAGTAGGAGAATTCGGCATCTGCTGAGCTAACCTACATGAAATTCCCCGTTTGAATTCATAGGGCTCAGTCGATACATTGAAATCCCGTCCTCAGGGCATCTGCAGACCTTCACCGGAAGTACAACGATGCGAATTTCTGCCTGGTTTTACGTTATTCCAATGAACCAGTTCCTCAAATCTAGTTCGCAGTATCTGAAGCCTAAAGTTCCATCAACCGTGATAGAAAGCCGCGTTCTTCTCCCTGGATGGCGTACTGATCCTATCACGACTTCCTCTTGAGGAAAATGTCCTGATCAATTTCGGAAACCTTGGTCTACTATGGATATTATAATTTTATTAAGAGATTTCCTCTCAAGGAAAATGGTTCGGATTGTATAGTTTTATTTAGAATCAGATGAACTTTTCTCTTCGGGGAACATCAGAGCCTGTATCCGCAATCTGTTTCCCTGATATGTTAGAGCAATCTTGCCTTGAAGATGACGATTTACACCACCGCACAGTGCAGGCCTTATCTGGGCTCGGCCCGAAACCGGTGTCCGGTACTTTCTTCGGGGCTGGGTTGAGCCTGATTAATCTCAGGTGGCTGGGTCCAGTCCCCAGGGGTTCGGGCCCAAAACCTCCTGTTCGGGCTTTTCTTCGGGGCCCCGCAAAGCTCGAAGGAGTCAGCTACTTCAGCCGTGGCTTTAGGACTTCGGGTCCAAAACCTCCTGTCCGGGCTTTTCTTCGGGCCCCCACAAGGCCTGAAGGGGTCAGCTGCTTTAGCCGAGACTTTACAGGGCTTCGGGCCAAAACTTGTTCTCCGGGTTTTCTTTGGGCCCGGCTGTCGACTTCCCTCACCTAATCCCTCCCGATCACGATTATTTTATTTCTTTTGACTGGATCGTCCGATCTTTCACCGAATTTTAATGGGTCCTGGGGCAATAAAAAAATATTTATTTATTTTATGAATTTGATGAAATATATATATTTTATATTAAATAATTTCTCCATCCTTTTTGAGCGACGCAAACGTGGGTCACTTCCTGCGGTGACTCTCGTAGCGGTTAAATTATTCATTAATTAATCCCGCCTCGTGGTTGAAATTTCGGGTATGTTCTGGCCACACTGATCGTCGAGGGGAGAGAGAGAGAGAGATAAAGAGAGAGATAGAGAACGATAGAGAGAAAGAGAGAGAGAGAGAGAGAGAGAGAAAAGAGAAAAAGAGAAAGGTGACAATGATGAAGTGACAGGAGAACATGGGTTTCAGTCTTCGGAGTGGGACTGGACTGGAACCGGGATTGGCCGAGGCGGAGCGTGAGAGGACCAACTGAGCAATTTTTTGACGAGGAAGGTCGGCCCATCCATTTTTGTCGGGTTTTGGTCGTGGTAATCACCACGAAAACTACTATTCTTTGCAGCATCATCTCTCACGAAGAACTGATAAGAAAAATCTCTCTCTCTCTCTCTCGGCTGATTGACCCCTTGGCCACCGTACTGGGGACGGCCGCCAGCATGGATCGGGTCAATCGCAGAGAGGATGAGGAGAACTTCTCATTGTCTGCATTCTAAGTCTTTGGCTGGATTCAAAGATTCCCCTATCTGATGAGAGGGACATTTGTGTGCGCCTCGAATCGGTCAGATACAGAGTTCCGGTGGTCCTACTCATCGCACTGTAAGAAAGTCAACGCTTCATCTCATCCAAACTATAAATCCGTAGTGAGAGGGAGAGAGGTGGGAGGTGATAATCTCCCTGATGCTGCCGCCTTTGTGAAGAACCCGTGTTGACATGAAGCTCGTGACACTCCGCCTTTTCCCTCTGGGTTCGTCGGAAAGTCAACCAGTGTGTGGACAGGAGGAAGAGAGAGCCGGGCGGATCTTCTCCTTTGACCTTTGATTCCCGCGTCTGGAAAGAATTAAAGAACAGGTCAAATCCATTAAAGCTCTCTCTAGCAGTCTCTATGAACCCGTTTAGACCGGCCCACGTTCTTCTTTCTATGGGCCCGGCGTACTTTTATCAACCCATTGGGCCTTCTTTCAAATTGAGAAATATAAATGGCCCGTCGACCATAGTAACTAGGCCGTGGGCTTACCGAACCACTGCCATGCATGAATGACGGCGGTAGGCCCATCTTTAGACACGCCAGCGCACCGATCGCCGTGGCAAGATGACATCATGCTGACGAGGACTGCGACGGTCGTTGTCCAAACCGATTGGATCGGGCTTGGTGCGGTGGCGGCTCATTGATTGGGACCCACTGGTGGCCCTAGCCGAACATCGGCCGCGGCCAGCTTCCCTCTTATTAAGGAAAGTACGTAAATGCCCCTAGATATAGATTATTTTCAGGATTTTTCCTTCACCCCATTTAAAGGGTTATTCTCCCAAACACCCCCCTCCCCTGTAGTTGTTGTCCAGACAAGAACGCCTCATCCGCCTCTCTCTCTCTTCTTTCTCTCTCTTGCGAGCTCTCAGAGCTTCGAAGACCTGCAGAGCAGCAATGGCAGTGGTGCGACCTCCGCCGGTGGCCGCGGGGACACAGCCGAGGTCGGGGCCGGCGATGATGGAAGCGGTGGACGAGATCATGAGGACCTACCGGTCGCTGCCGGCGAGGCCAAGCGTGGACGATGTGGAGGCGGCGGAGGCGGTGATTCGAGCGGCGGAGGCAGAGGAGGAAGCGCGGCTTGACGAGTTGGAGAGGACGGAGAAGCTTCCCGATCTGCCGGACGAGCTCTTCCATGTGTTGCAGGAAGTTCGCCGGAGCGCGGCGAGGCTGCGGGCGGAGGAGCAGCGGCGGGAGGCCCTCCGCGTGGTCGATCTGGAGGAGCGCTTTCGCGTGCTAGACGAGCTCATCCAGAGAGCTTCCCGGCTGGTCTCCCCCGACGGTGGCGTTTCCGCAGGACGTGCCCCCGACGGAGAGGTGCCTGTTCGTCTCAGATTGGCCGATGGCAGGCCGGAGGGGAAAAGGGGGATCAGCGATGCGAACTTGGTGAAGAGGGAGGACGAGATGGAGAAGAAGGCGCCTCTCAGGGAAGCCACCAAGGCGTTGGCGCGTTCGTCCTCGTTGAAATCGGGTATGCCGACAGGTAAGCGCGGATCAGTCGATTCCTCGTCCTCTGGATTTCTCCGTGATCCCATCTCATCCTCTGTATCTTTTTTCCACGATTCGGCGAGTTTTCCGAGAAAATTTTATTCGGCGATTTGTGGTTTATCATGGGATATCTAGAACACTCCCTATCCTCCCCCAAATTTTCCCTTCTCATCTTGGAGAAAAATTTCATGGCACGCTGTCAATTCATCGATCTCTTCGTGTTCCAGAGTATATATACACTTTCGTTTTCCTTCCTGGACTCTCTGAGACTGTAATTCGCTCCTGTGTACACACGGATTTCGAGTCTCCCATCAGTCCTAGCGCGATCGGCTTGGAAGCATCTCCTCCTCCCATTTTAATTATATCTTCCCCTAACGAGGAGAAGGGAAATCGTATTTCCTCATCTGATCGCAGAAGAAGCATTTATGATGAACCGATTCCTTCCCCAATTAGGATATCGATCCAGATCCCCTCATAGCTTCCTCGGCTAGCAATTGAAAAGGCCATTTGCTCAGATCTACTCTCAACTAGCATCGAAAATATCTATTGTTTGGTGTATAACCGATCCAATCAACAGGCGGATGCTACTCTCGACGATCTTCTCTCCGATCTCTCGTTTATCCGCATTCTTTGCCTGAGATTCTTGAAGAGGGATCAGAGATTTTAAGCTCCGTGGATTAAGATTTTCTTTTTATAGCAGTTTTTGCAGACGGAAGCGCTGAGAAATTCAGTCTCATAAAGCTGGCGGGTTTGATCGAGAGTTCAGCGAAGAGTGAAGCACAGATTCTGGATCTTCAAGGGAAGTTGATGGATCAGATAGAGTGGCTGCCATTATCCTTGGGGAAGCTGACGAGCATCACGGAGCTCAATCTATCTGAAAACCAGATCATGGCTCTTCCCTCGAACATCGGAAGCCTCAGGTCGTTGACCAAGCTCGACCTCCACTCGAACAAGCTTATAAACCTCCCAGACAGCTTAGGGGAACTGTCCAGATTGACCGAGCTCGATGTGCACGCGAACAGCTTGAAGTCTCTGCCCGCATCATTCGGGAATCTGACGAGCCTGGTGAGCCTCGATCTTGGCTCGAACCTGCTGTCTGTTCTTCCAGATTCGCTGGGAAATCTGACCAACCTGAGGAGATTGGACGTGGAAACCAACGAACTCGAAGAACTCCCCTACACGATCGGTTCTTGCTCCTCTCTCGCGGAGCTGAGGCTAGATTTCAACCAGCTGAGGGCACTCCCGGAAGCCATGGGGAAGCTCCAGTCCCTGCAGGTCCTCACTCTGCACTACAACAGAATCAAAGGCCTGCCCACCACCATGGCATCCCTCGTGGAGCTGAAGGAGCTCGACGTCAGCTTCAACGAGCTGGAATCGATCCCCGAGAGCCTCTGCTTCGCCACCAACCTCGTGAAGCTGAGGGTCGGCAACAACTTCGCAGACTTGACCTCCCTCCCCAGGTCAATCGGAAATCTCGAAATGCTCGAGGAACTGGACATCAGCAACGACCAGATCAGAACTCTGCCGAACTCCTTCAGGCTCCTCTCCAGGTTGAGAGTGTTCCAGGCGGAGGGAACTCCATTGGAGGTCCCTCCGAGGAATGTGGTCAAGCTCGGAGCAGAGGTACGTCCGTATATTCTCCCCCATCGTCTCCCCCAATCTCCCTCATCCTCCTCTCTGGTTCTCCCTCCCCGGCGCAGGCGGTGGTACAGTACATGGCCGATCTGGCGGAGCCCAAGGCGGCGCCGCTTCCCCCGTCCGCGGAGAGGAAGAAGGGTCTCTGGTTCTGGCTCTGCTCACTGTTCCTCCCTCGCAGAGACGGCGGCGACTCCACCAAAGCCTGAGCCGCCGGTAAGCTCTGCAAACCCATCTCAAAAGGCGCCGCCTTTCCCATGCCCATGAAGGGATCACGGCGATCTCGCCCCCCTCTGAAGGCGACGCCCGCCTGGGCAGGTGATCCACTTCAATGATCTTCTTCTTCTTCCTCCTCCTCCGACCAGGCTGGCCTCTCGTTGGCTCCATTGGCTGTATCTTCTTCTTCCTCCGACAATGAAATCTGGCATGCCACGTGCTACCATGTCTTTTTTTGGCGGGCCCAAGTGCAGCATTTGGTACGTAGGAGCCGACTCATTTAGGATTAAATTAGGGGTATAGCCCGTGGGTGGAGGGGGTTTCGGGCTTGGGCCCGAAAAATAAGCCCGGAAGATTTGGCCCGAAAATCCCGCCGCCGCCGAAAGGGGACTTTCTTGGTATAGTAGGGGAAGGTCTATGATATTATGGGAAAAATGGCGGCGGTGTTGACGGCTAAGCAGGGTGGGGTTTGGGAGGGCAATAAATGGCGGCTGTCTGTCAACGGGTCTGTGGAAATGGGGGAGGAATACTGTGGCCACGGAAGCTGTGGCCCGTGTGTTATCCGAACGACGGATGGGCCCATTAGAGGGACGTGCCGGCCCATGTTGTCTCCAACACGTGAACCACGCCTGCTGCCGCATTGCCTGCCTATTCCACTCACGTGCTCTCCGGATCTAATCTACGAACCACAAACGTCGTTATCTCTCCGTCCTTCTCTCTCTCTTTCTCTCTCTCTCTCTCTCCCCCTCGCCCTCTCTCACACTCTCTCTGGCTCTTGCCCCGTTCTCTCGCTCTCGCCCTCTCCCTTTCTCTCTCTCTCTCTCTCTCTCTCTCTCTCTCTCTCGCCCTCTCTCTCTCTCTCTCCCTCTCCCCCTCGCCCTCTCTCACACTCTCTCTCTGGCTCTCGCCCCCTTTCTCCCGCTCTCTCTCGCCCACTCTCTCTCGCCCACTCTCTCTCTCTCTCTCTCTATTTTCAGTTCGAGTTGACTTCTGTGCTCTTGGGATTGGGTAGCCTTATCCAGTCCAACAGACGGTTGTCTCCTCTCTCTCTCTAGCCATCGAGCAGATGCTTCACTACTCGTGTTCCCTCTCCCAGACGCTGCCGGAGAGGAGGAGATGCACCGACACGAGAGCCCTCCAGCAGCTCCACGCCCAGATGATCCTCACCGGAGACATCCACCACCTCCCTTCCCTGAACAGGCTTCTCTCTCTCTACCTCTCCTCGCCCCCCCCGGCCGGAGGGCCGCCCCTGGCCCGCCGCCTCTTCGACCTCTGCCCCCGCTCCTCCGTCCTGCTATGGAACACCCTCATCAGAGGCCTCCTCGACCAGGGTCTCCCCCTCGCCGCTCTCCTCGCCGGCGACGAGATGCTCCGGCGATCTCCCTTCTCGCCGGACCAGTTCACCTTCCCGTCGCTGCTCAAGGCCTGCGCCCGCTTGGCCGCCTCCTTCGAAGGGAGGACCCTCCATGGCCAGGTCCTGAGGTTCGGCCTCGCCGGCGATCTCTACGTCCAGGCCAATCTCATCTCCATGTACTCTGCCTGCGGGGACTTGCTATCGGCGAGAGAGGTCTTCCACAGGACCGGCGGCAGAAACCAGGTCCTCTGGGGTTCCATGATCAGCGCGCTCGTGAAGAACAACTCGCCGGAGGAAGCTCTCGCGGTGTTCTCGGAGATGGCGGAGTCCGGCGAGGAGGCCGACGAGGTGACCCTCACGATCGCCATCTCCGCCTGCGCCGAGCTGAGAGACCTTCACTTGGGGAAGAGACTCCACTCCGCCATTGCCGCCAAGTCCTGCCGGATAAGAAGAAGAGGAAGAAGAAGAAGCTCCGTCGTGCTGGGGACGGCGCTGGTGGACATGTACGCGAAATGCGGCGCGCCGGACATGGCGAAGACAGTGTTCGACCAGATGCCGGAGAGAAACGTGGTGGCCTGGTCTGCCATGATTTCTGGGTTCGCTCAGAACAACCAGTGCGAGGAAGCGCTGGACCTCTTAAAGACCATGCTAGAGGAAGCCGACGCCAAGCCCAACGCCGTTACCCTCTCGGCGGCGCTCTCCGCCTGCGCACAGATGGGCGATCTCAGTGCAGGAAGATGGATCCACGCTTACATAGATCGATCTGGGATGGAATGGTCCACCAGCCTGATGAACTCCATGGCCGACATGTACGCCAAATGCGGAAGCATCGAAATCGCCTGCGAGATCTTCGACAGAATACCCAACAAGGACGTCGTCTCCTGGAACGTCGTCATCTCCGGGCTGGCCATTCACGGGCGGGGCGAGCTCGCGCTGGAAAAGTTCTCCCAGATGCAGAGAGAAGGGCTGAAACCAGACGACATCACCTTCATCGGGGTGCTCTCTGCCTGCAGCCACGTAGGGCTGACGGAAGAAGGTCGCCGCCATTACAGGAACATGAGGAGAGTTTACGGGATCATCCCGAAGCTCGAGCACGATGGATGCATGGTGAATCTGCTGTGTAGGGCGGGGATGCTGGAGGAGGCGAAGGAGTTCATCAGGGGGATGGCGGCAGAGCCGGGAGGGGAAGTATGGGGGGCTCTGCTCGGCGGCTGTGCGGTCTTCGACGAGCTCGAGCTGGCGGCGCGCGCCGCCGGGCAACTTCTCGGCGGCGTAGAGACGGGCCGCGATGGTGCCTGCGTTCTGCTATCGAACATGCTCGCTGGGAGGCGGCGGTGGGGAGATAAGCGGAGAGTGCGGGAGTTCATGGAGGAGAAAGGGATCAAGAAGACGCCTGGTTGCAGCTCCATTGAAGTCGAGGGAGTGGTGCACGAGTTCTTCTCCGGTGAGAGCCAGGATCCAGAGTAACAAGAACACCCGCCAGCAGAAGCCTTCCCCATGATTGGAGCGACCGAAGATCATCGGCGCTCTTCTCTTCTGTGGGGATTCTTGAAGAAGAATACCCGAATTTATTACCAGCGGAAAGGAAAAAAGATTTTTTTTTTTTTTTTTTTACCCGACAGATTTGTTCTTGGGGCACCGACCACATTCATATGATCTGATATCTGACAACCTTAAATGGGAAGCATTATTAGGCTTCATTTCTAAGTCAGCATGAATTAAATGAAATAGAGAAACAAAGAAGAAGGTATCAACTAGTATGTTCTTATAACTCATTATTATTGAATATTATGCATCATAAAATGATTATATAACTTTACCCTATTTTTCTTGTGATGAAAATACATGGAATCCACTATGATGATTATGCGATCAATGAAGCTATTACTAGGACTCAATTGATCAAAAATCTATTAATAGAAATTTTAGTTGGAAACTAAAGAGACTATGCAAAGTAGAGTGGGCCATCCTTTCCATTCACATGACCATTCAACATATCATCATTAAAAATGTAGGGAGACAATTGAAGTGCCTTTTCTATTTAAGACACTCCATTGAAGATTATTACTCAATAATCCAAGCAGTCTGCTTTGAATGTTCCAACGTCAAAATTCTCTTGAATTTCTTAAGATCAAGAACCTCTTACACCATCTCGCTCCACAAGTTTGTAACATTGTCTAGAATCTTAAAAACTAACCACCTTATATCTCACATGTCACAAGCACACCACACAGCTCAAGGTAACTACCCTGCCCACACATTATAAATGTTTCAATTAGTTAATACATCATCAATCACAACAAGAACAATATTTTAATTTTATAACAAGCTTACCATTGACTTCAATTGTCATGTAGTTCACCATAAGTTGTTGAATTATCTAAGAAGAGTTAGACTAATAGAAGAAGCATTTTAGTTATGATATTCCTTTTCGTGTGCACAACTCTCTTTAATCAGTCTTAATCTTGTTTCTAAATCTTCAAGACACTGAGAGAATGTAGCAGAGAGGAGCAAGGTCTTGAAGTAGTTGTCGCCATTTGAAACCTCATTTAAATTCTTCATGCCCTAATTTTGGGCTAGATGTTGCTTTTGATAGTGATAGATTTTGGGTTGAATATCTACCTTTTAAACCATCACTCAAAAATTAAAATTGTCTAATTTTGGGTTGTAACAACTACTTTACCTAAAAACAAACCTATTTTCTAGTCTATCCACAATGCCCTTTACTTTATTGCGCTAACACTTTACACCCACTAGTGGGCTGAGTCCTTACTCTTAATGAGTCACACTTGAAAAAACTAATTAATAGAAAATTATGTAATCTTGTAAAATGAAACACTTAATATTTTCACAATTCTTTGAAGCCCTATTTTATCATGAAACCTAGTTTGCCACTAAATGATTGTAATTTAATTTCTGCAAAGTCAAGGCTTCCCACAAAAATATCAATCCTATTTAATCAATTTCATGCAAGGTTAAAACTAATTCTACTAATTAGAATAAATCACCTCTCCATCGCAATTTATCTATAAATTATTAAACTATTATTGAGTTAATAATATAATAATTTAATTTATTAATATGTTCTCCAAGAATTATTAACGTTTTACATTTATTTATTTTATGTCTTCTTATTTACGTTCTTAAAAACATAGGGTAGAATGCAATAACTGCCTTGTAATATAGTAAGTGTATGTATAGTCTTCTCCATGGATGAATACTACTAGAAATGTTATTCCCTTTGAAAACTGGCGCCCACGAATGGTTGACTTTTAAGGTTTATAGGGCGATTGTTGACGTAGTTGGTTGACACTTGTATATTTGGTTTTGGACTTCCAGAATCCACATTGACTTCATTTCTTATTGGGGGTCATTTAAATATCTACTAAATCTAAATCGACGTCACTAAATCAAGATGTGTAAATGTGGATGCTTCAAGACATGAGACATGAATAGTAAGAGAGGGAGGGAGAGGGGTAGAGAGAGAGAGAGAGAGAGAGAGAGAGAGAGAGAGAGAGGGAGAGAGAGAATTAAAAACGTGAGCTTGCTTTCAATGGCCGTCGAAGGGGATTAAAAGAAAAAAAACCCGGGCTGGGTGGAGAGGGCCCACTGTCAGAGCCCGCCACGCAGCGGGGCCCACTTCTCCTGCTGCGGTGACACGCCACTGGGAGGGCGTTTTGGGCGCCAAGAGCGGAGTCATCGTCCCGCCTTCCCTTTGAAAACGTGCTCCACTTTCTCTCTCTAGGCCCCCAGTTCCCGCCCGCTACCGCGTTATATCCCGCCCACGAAGCCCGAAGATACAGACCAGGCAGTACCACACTTTCTCTCGCTATCTCCCTCGCCCTCCCCCTTCCCTCCTCATCCTCTCGCCGGCGGCGCCGCCTTGGTCGGTAGCTCTGCTTCTTCCGATCAGCCCGCCATGAACCAGAGAGTGCGGAGCCCCAAGAGGTCCTTGGCGGCGGGGACGTCGCCGTCGAAGGTGGAAGAGAGGTTCCACAAGTTCCTCCGCCCTGGGGCCCTCGCCAGGCTACGGGACGCTCGGATCAGCACCTCCTCCCGGTCGCCGAGATCTGCCACCCTCCTCCTCCTCGCCGCCAGGAACCACCGCCTCTCTCCGCCATCGCCGCCGTCCCCAGGGGACGGGGGCGGCGCCGCCGTGGGGCCGCAGATATCGGCGGCGGTCGTCGATGGCTCCCCCTTCTTCGCGGGTTGCAGGACTCGCGGGCCGCGCTGCCCTCAGAGGAAAAAGCTGCTCGCAGCGAGGGCTATGTTCTTGATCCCCGGGAGCCCCGTCGGTCCGGACGCGCCGCTCGATGACCTCCCTCACCTGGACCATTTGACCTCCGATCTCCTCCTTGCGCACTGATTTGACGATTGCTTTCGTGGGAGGGGACCCCCCACCCCGTGCTGTATCTCCATTCTTTCATTGTTGGGAATTGCAGAGGAGGGAGTGGGGAAATGTAAGGGAAAGGGAAACCCCTTCTGGTTTCTCCTTCCCCTTACTGTGTAGATCAGGTGATAGATGATCGGCGGATCTATGTCCAGCTAACCAGAAACCCCAACTTGTGGATGCAGCTGCCTTCGTTTCGTCTCTTCCGATGTAATCATCCACCTCTGTATCACAGAAAAAAAAAAGAATCTCAGTCTTGACGATCTTGCTCCATCTCTCTTCCCAGAAAAGACGACGACGATGTTCCTGTTCATCAATTGATCGAGGCTCACACTGTTCTAACGCCCATTCATCCAAGATCCAGATGAGATCTTGCTCAAATCGAGCTCCTTTCATCTTCAGATTCGATGAACATGCGGGTTGATCTTGTTCATCAAATACATCAGGGGAACATCTGGCTCTCAGGAAATTCATGCTTCATTACAGAAACCAAAGACACTGGCATTGGATCACGTCCATCTCCATGAACTACTAAAAAAAAGGGAACAGATTCACACAGTGAGACAGATCTCCGAGGTTCCTGCACGACATGAACACCACCAGCCCTGCGAACTCGACCCTCCTAGCTTCCACGGTAGGTAGAGAAGGAGAAGGGGGAGAGCAGCAGGGGAACATGGAAATGCTCAGATCTCTGTGACTCCCTCACCTCAAACACGATGCTCACATATGGGAAGAACCCAGATGGAATGTACTTCCCCGTGTTGAAGCTAATCCGATAAACACCTGGTGTGATGTGGTCGACGATGCCCATGAGGGCGCCGCTCCTGCCATCAGAGTCTGTGATGGACGACCCTTGAGGAACCCAACCGCCTGAGTCCGAGCCCTTGAATGATGGGTAGCCATGGGCTCCTTTCCACATCTCCAGGTGAACCTCCACTCCTGATGCTGGGCAGCCATGGGCGACATCCAAGATGTGGGTGGTGATGGGGGGTCGAGACCGGCGGCTAGCTGTTGCTCCTGTATCGCCGATCTTGCCGCCGGAGGCCTTCGGGGAAGTGGTGAGATGCCCACCGATCACACCTATACGGCCTTGGATGCATCAGATGTCAGGGCTTTGACATGAAAGCTAATGGCTACAACAAGAAGATATCTCCATGAAATTGTGTTTTCTGCTTCAGCGGCAAGAGAGGAGAGGAGGGAATCATCTTAAGTTAGCTCCGGCCATCGCCAGAGTCTCAGCCAGCAAAGCCTCCCTGGCTGCTTCCACCTCAAAACGCCGCGAAGGAGAGAATGAGGTCGAGGTGTTGGGATTCGAAGTAATCGGTGTATGGGAGCAACCCATACAAAGATATTTTGATCGTAGAGGTCCCAGGATTGCAGTAGAAGCAGATATTCAGAAGTATGATACACTGGAAGCAGCGGGCCATGAAGATGTTCTCTCGAGAAGGATGCCCGGGTGTCCAAGCCCAGAGCCCTCTGTTTTTGTTTGGGGTTTGATCCTAACACGATAAGGGCCAACATGGAAGATTATGGAGCATAAGTTGAATGGAAGGCTTGTGAGAAAGAGGAGATCAGGAGATGAGGGGACAGGAATTTGAGAACAGATCACGGATTGGTGGTGATGATGATTGAGTTGAGCTCCAAGAAAAACCCTACCTGAGATCTGATAGGTTTTAAGGTCAAGTACCCCTCTCATCAGGATGATTAGAACAGAAGGCCCATGTGGCTTTGAATTTTCTGGAGTCATCCAATGATGGCAAGAACATAAACCCCTTGTTCTTCATAAATTTCATCAGGGGTGTTGAGAGAGACAGCTGGGTAAGTCAATTATAGTGATGAAGGAATAAATTGACCACATCCCTAAGCCCTAAACAGCTTGCCACCATGCATCATGGAATATTTTCAGCTTAATAGTCGCAAAAACGCGGTGCATATTTACCGAAACCCTCTTTTCCATCAACAATTCTCCCATTTATTGGTGTCTATTGTCGATATATTTACAGCCAGACATGCTTCCAGATATGTTTCAGTTATGCCAGCATGATGAGAGGAAAATTAGGAAAAATGAGATTTTTCTGTGGGTACCTCCGGCTACAGAGGATGGGTTAGTGTCAACTTGGTCCATTGTCTCTGGAGTTGTTCCATCCTTGGCGGTGAAAAGCTTAGAAAGGCGTATCTCGATAATTTTCATTTCCTCCTGCGCTGCATTCTCAAGCTCAACTATGGGCCTGTTTGGATATCGTTTCTACAGCAAAATGAAACAGTCAGACCTTCAAGCAGGATACCAGATGAGATGTCGAGCTTAGAGAGAATAAAGATGATGAAGAACAGGACAGAACACAAGCAAGGTTCCAGATATATAACTACATAAGCAATAGGATCAAGAAGCGAAAAAGAAGAAGAAAATAATCGGTTTACAATATAAAATCACGGATATTATTTGAAAGCAAGTTTGTAGATAACCCCTGATCGTCGTCTTCGAATTTCCCATTCATACCACTGATTTTACGCTTTGTATCAATGTAAGTGAACAGCACACCCCTATTCACCTAGATGTTAGGGCAGATGTTGTGCCACAAAGATAATATCTGCGAACGGGATAAATTTTCCAGAAAATAAATTACTTTAAGCCAAGAAAAATGCAATAGTTTACGGCATAAAAATGCTATAGAGAAATCAAATTGGATAATTAGCAGGAAAATATGAAAGTGAGTTAAGCATCTATCTAACTAGAAGAACTAGAAAAGATCAAATGGACTGCAACCACAACTGAGTTGATGGGGATTTAGGACGGCAATTATACCAGTAATTACAGATGATGAATAGAAAAATACATTTAACGAGAAGGATTCCTTCATGCTTGAAAATACATAATAAATATGGATGAAAGAAAAACACGTAACTCTTAAATCTCGAAGAAAACCCAATTCAAGGATAGCCCAGGATGGCGATGATAGACAGAGAAAGTTACTAAAATATCAGATCAACAAACCTTCAATTCAGTAAGAATTTCTTGCATGCCTTTCCCAGATGCACATATGAGAAAAATAAATCCAAACTTTTCCTTGTACCGAGCATTCCATTCAATTAGTTCCTGCAGAATAGGAGGGATGACTATATCAAAAACACATCCGGGTCAGGTAACTGTAATTGTGCACTGCACGCTGAGAATGAGGTGAGAGAGACCTACCTGGAAGGTGGAATCTGTCGCAGCAGACAATGCAGCCGACTGCTCTTCCTGGCTCCATCTATTTCACGAAATTACCGTTTAATTATTGATCTAATGGAAGTTAGAAGCTAAGCCTGTCGTCGCTGCACTAAACGAACTTAACTTTGAAATTGGCTTGGATGTCGCCCCGATCTCCGGGTGGGCGGCGAAGGATTCGAGCCAGCCATTGACGTCCACCTGCGGAACGGATTCGGCACGACAAGCCATTACAAGATGGGGGGGGGGGAGAGAGAGAGAGAGAATTGTGCCGGCGGCGCTGACCTTATTGAACCAGATGTCACGGGCGGCGCTGGCGGCGTGATGGTAGTCCGCAAAGGGGCCGGCAGCGACCATTTCTCTGGCGAACCTCGTGCTCCCGCTGCAGGACTTGAAGTCCTCCGCTACGCACCCCGAATCCATCCTTCACTCTTCCTTCTCGCTGTTTCTCTCTCTCTCTCTCTCAAGGGCAGCTGAGACTGACCAGAATCTCTCGACCGCTGCAGGAGCGCATGAGATTGCAGGAGGTCCGAGGAGAGATCAATCGGATCTGCGGGCTGCGGGCCGGTCCGGGCATTGGCCCGCTATTTGTAAAGCCCGGGAGGTCCATGCTCTCTCTCTCTCTCTCTCTCTCTCTCTCTCTCTCTCTCTTAATCACATTTTCGAAAGCCCATTCTTGAATATAATCTCAGAAAATGTAAAAATCATGGTCAATTCCGAATAATCCGAGATTAAATGTTTCTGCACCATTTACTGCATCCTATTAACATTTATACTCTCTCTCTCTCTCTCTCTCTCTCATATAATCACACTTTCCAAAAACATTTTTGAATATAATCTCATAAAATATAAAAATCATGGTCAATTCCGAATAATTTTAGATCTCCTGTTTTGCACCATTTATTGAATCTTAATAACCTTTACTCTCTCTCTCTCTCTCTCTCTCTCTTAATCACATTCCCAAAACCTATTTTTAAATATAGTAATAAAATGTAAAAGTATAGTCAAATCCCAAGAAAATGAGATTTAATGTTTTGCACCATTTAGTGCATATTATTAACCTTTCTACTCTCTCTCTCTCTCTCTCTCTCTCCTAATTACACTTTCGAAAACCATTTTTTAAAATAATCTCATAAAATGTAAAAATCACGGCCAATTGCAAAAAAATTGAGATTAAATATATTTTGCACCATTTCGTGGGTCTTATTATCAATAGATTAGGACGATCTAGTCATAGGATTAAAAACAGATAAATCTCATGGGGATTGGGGGGGCTTTCCAGTAAATAGAGTGGGCCCACAAATTGAAAATGAAAGAGGCTCGCTACAACGCCTGAAAATTGAAGTGAGCTAGATAAGGTTAGATTGACCGCTTAATCATACTCGGATCCTTCATTTTCTTCTCTCTCGCAATCATGTGACTGAAGTCTCTCATAATTATGTTCGGCCCTTAATTCACATTTATAGCAACTTTTATAAGCTACATGCTATTTTTTTCACATAGTTTTAAAAAAATCGCCAAATCGAGAGGAATATTTGCATTATAATAAATGGTTTCTTTTTTGGGATAAAAAATCAGCTAAAAAAAGATGCCATTTTCAATAAACTAAGATTTTTTAGAGAGAGAGAGAGACAGATAGAGAGAGAAGACAAACCTTAGGGGTTACAAATAATTTTATTTAATTCAGGGTACATTAGTTATGGATATTTTTTTTGGGGTTTATAGCTGAGCCAGGGATCTTCTCTCCCTCGGGCGTTTATAAGAGGAAAGCGAGGGGGGGAGCTCAGACGACCTCTGGATATCTCCGTCACTGCTGCATTCTCCACCACTTCCCATTGTAGGATCACGAGGCCCACGGCGGCCTCATCAATCGCCTCTGCCGCGAAGATGTCGGGTAGGTGCGCTTGCTCTCCTTCTAGATTAATTTCGAGCTCAACGGACATGCTCCTGGCGGTGCCAATTCTGATGTTCTTAAAATCCGATTTCTGTGAGTGTAAGAAACATCCATTGGAGTTTTCACCTCTTTCATTTAACGGAAGAGGATTTTTAGCCCTCCAAATGTTAAATGGCCGAATTTTGGACTTTCTGTTTGGTGGATCAGACGGTGGATTAAATATACATTTGAGAGCTAGGTATTGCCATTCGGATTAGAGTTTATCATCTTCCGGTATCTATTTTGGCATTATACTTCTAAGAGTTGAGAGTCGACTGCTCAAGAATCATTTCATTTTTATTAGATCTCAAGTGGACATGTTTTCAGAATTCTGCCAGTCTGAACTCTCGAGCTTTTATTGGTACTCTCCTGATGCAAAGAGCATGCAATATTTTGACTCTACATCCGTGGGAGGTAAAAATTACAGCCAATTGGACGTTGCCTGTTGGGAAAAGTTGACTCAAGTGACTATTAATTTGAATCGTTACATGGGAATTACCTAATCAGGATAGGTTGATCACTATGTTAGATGGCAAAGCCGGCAGAGAGAGCCCCAGGGTTTGGATTATATGAAAGGTTAGTTCTTCATGGTAGTGATACAAACCTTTTTTTTTCCAGGGGATAGCTTCACTGAGTAAAATTTAGTATTGGCAATATTAAAAGCCTATCAATTGATGAAAATTCCTCATTTAGAGTCCAAAAAGCCCTCAAATTTTATTGTGCTGACCGTTTGCCCCAAGAAATATGACCGTTTCTTGGATATCTTCCATTTTAACGTAAACTAGAATAAGCAATGCCTCCCGATACATTCTCTACCAATCAAGGCTCATCCATTTGTAACAAATCTCTGGTGTCATCCCCTGAAAATAAATTTTCTCAGGCTTATTGCAATTCAATCTGGTCCATCAAGGGAGTCAAACACTAAGCCAGGTTAAGAAGGGCCAATAAATCTCAGGTTGGCTTTGGAGAGTGTGAGGCTGCTGGAGGAGAAGAGGAGGTGGCAGAGAAGTGTGGCATCGTGAACACTGTTGTCTACCATCCTTCACACTTGTCATGCACCGACGGATGGCTAGATTCTTAGTTATTTGTCTTGTCTTCTCTCCCATGGGAAACCCCTGTTTTGAAGCATAATTTGAGTCTCATATCATCTTTTGTTTCGGGTTTTGCATTGTGCAATTTTTTTTTGTTGGCATCAGTCCCCAGTTGCATTAAGGTTTTGCTGAGTTGAAGACTGAGTGAACGTGGGAGTTGTGGAAGGATAGAGGTCTGGTGCCTAGGAGGAAGTAAATATAATAGGCTGTGCTTTTTTTTCATTTTTTTTTGAGGTAATGTGGCTATCTGAAAGAATAGCTATAAATTCTCTCACACCTCTCACCAAATTCAGATTAAATTCCCTTTTTGAGACAGCTTGACATAATATGCTGTTGTTTGTGCGCAATCCGTCAAAGAGAATTTTCTTCAACTTATTTTTTGCCAGAATGGGAGGGACATGTGGAGTCCAATGAAAAGCGAGAGCTTTCTTATGAAGCAGATAAAAAAAAACATTTTTAGGATAGAGAGGCTGCCGTTATTCCAATAGTCTTGTGATTTCTGGAATAACTTTTAGTACACACAGCTATAGTGTTAAAAGATGATTTGAAGTTTGGCGATGCATAAATTGGAACTACATATATTTTGAAGATTGACGGGCGTCAATTTCTTATATTCATCATGTTATCTGATATACATGAACCCAAGAGTTGAGGGTAGGAAAATGAGCCTATGTTTATCACTTTTTCATCCTCTGTGTGCTTTATTTTCTCACAAATGTAAAAAGTAACAACCAGGAAATGCTTTCAGCTACAGGATGCAAGAGAGATTGGCTTTTTAAAAATTCATGTGAAAGAACGAAATTATTGTAGGCTGTTTATCCGTTTAATTGAAGATCTTTGAGTTTTATCTATAGAATATTTTTAGAATAGATACAACACATGCATTGAAAATGTTGTTAATAGTTTATTAAATTACTATTGGCGCACCTACTTCTTGAAAGTATTTATAATGCTTATGTTACTGTAAAGTAACAATCCTCATACACTGGTAGAATCCTGAGAGCTTTTTGAAAAACGAAAAGTCAAGTCTTTCATAGTGTTAAGCCAAATTAGTTCTTACACAGATTTCCTAAGGCTTTGTGTTTTACGATTGAGGCTGAATACAGGAGAGTTCATGTGTCGCTTTCCATTCCTTTTTATTTTATGCAATCATTCACAATAAGTTATAGGCAATGCAGTTAGTGAATAGGTATAGGAAATTTTTATGGTGGCATCAAAAGTAGCAGTTGATAGCAAAAATGTTGGTCAATAATTAAGTATCCTCTTTCATACCCTAAAAAAAAAAAAAAGGAAAAAAGAAGAAAAAGAGAACACATTCACACCAACCTCAATGTATATGTAGGTCTCCACGTCAGGGACCTTTGTGATTTTAAGTATGTCTTCTATATTTATTGGAATAACGGTTATTGCTCGAACGATAAACATTTCTTTTGTTAATCCCATAAATTCCATACACTTAATCATTGTCATGTTAGTACTTATTTGTCAGTTACCTATAACTGAGGAAGACACTGTATCATCTTATATCTACTCGATGATCTGAAACAATTCTAATGCACCCATTTCCCATAACTTTCAAGTTCGAATATTTTTTCTGTTGATTTTTTGTATATTAATTAAAGATAGAAACTATATTTCTATTTTTGCTAGCATCTTACATAGTCTTCAAACCATCATGATACATGTTGACAACGTTGCTGTCCAAAACTTTTCAGGTGTCAATTCCTCTCAGCTTTTTAAGCAAGGAACGTGTTTGTAATATGGATAAGTCATTGGGGAACGCATTCACTTACTCCAAGCGAAATAACCTGGCTCCTCCACTTTCCAACATAGAAGGTCCCTTAAATGTATATATTTGGGACATGGATGAAACGCTTATATTACTGAAATCTTTGCTTGAGGGGACATATGGAGTTGCCATTGGCTCAAAGGATGTACAAAAGGGAAGGGAAATAGGGAAACATTGGGAGAATCGTATTCTACAAGTTTGTGATGATATGTTCTTTTACGAGCAAGTAAGATTCATCTCGAATTCCCCTTTTTTTAGCATTTATCTTTCTGAGTCGCGTTTGAGCCTACTTTGAGTTTTGGTACATAATGGGTTATGTCTCAACTATGCTCTTGGGCATGAATCATACAAGAATTTAGGACATGACATCTAATATCTATTTCTTTTTTGACATGTCACGAAACAGGTTGAAAATTATAATGAACCATTCATCACCGCTCTAAGGGACTATGATGATTTGCAAGACTTGTCTGATTATGATTTCAAGTCCGACGGCTTCACTGCCCCTTTTGATGATGATAACAAAAGGAAGCTTGCATACAGGTTTCGCACCATTGCACAGAAGTATGAACAGGTGCTGATCGATGACAACCTTTCTCCATGATGATGTTTGTTCTTGTTGGTGATGTAACTACGGTAGCATGGTTTCCATTTCTTGAAACCAATATAGTCACGCCTCATCTTACTATAAAATCTTCTGGGATTTTTTTCTTCTTTGGAACTAAGATTAGATTATGAGAAGACTTTAATGGGTATTGATTTACGAAAATCAAATCTGCTTCAGTAATTTATAGGTGGTGATTATCTAAAACATGAAAGGCCAAAGTTGTACCTGAAAGCCTATCCGAAGAAATGATATAATTCTATTATAAAGATATCTTATTTGGATCCAGACATTCCTCCCAAGAACTTGGGATCTTTTAGATCTACAATGCTGCTGCTATGAATATCTAATCATCCAAGATTATTTCTCTGAACTTTCAATCTAGGAGAGTTGATTATTTTCTCCTTGGTCACTGCAGGGCTTGCACAATATCATTGATGAAGGAATGATTAAGCTGTGGGATGATCTATATAGTTTGACCGATAAATATGCTGATGGGTGGCTTTCCTCTGGTATGCGGCTACATACATCTCTTCACCATTTTTATTACAGCTCTGTATTTGCCTCAGCTTTCTTTTTTACTGTAATATCTCGTTACATGAAATAAATGCTCACAAAGTTCCATTTTTGCATTTTGATTGAATTATGTACATTTATTCTTGTTTTATTTTTAATCTCGGTGCTTGATCATGCAGCCCGCACTTTATTAGATGACATTTCCAACAGAAATAAATCGTTGACCAATCAACTTGAAACTGAGAATACAGCTGATTCTTCATCTGCGAAATGCCAAAATATCAACGTCCTGGTTACCTCCGGATCATTGATTCCCAGCCTTGTCAAATGCTTACTGTTCCGGTTGGATGGCCTGATTGCCCATGAGAACGGTCAGTACTCTCTCCTGGATCATCTACTCTGGACGACTAGAACCACTCTTGTCGCATGATCCATTCATATGGCTCCAGATCTCATCATCAAAAGCGCTGCAATCTTTTATCACGCATGAAAAATATTTATTTTAATCGTTTTTCTTCAATCTTGACAAAAATATTCAGTAAACCCTCCCTCTCAAGTCTCGGTTTCTAGCACCATAATTTGCTTAATGCGCGTACATAATCAGATTATTGGTTCTAGAAATATAGATTAATGATCTAATTTCCTGATTCTTGGCAAAATATTTATCAGATCCTCTCATTATTTTCCTCTGCTACAAACTTTCATCACCATTGGTTGATTGTTTTCAATAACCCATATGCATGATCTTCATGCAGTCGAATTATTGATGCTAAAACTATATAATTCATGATCTAATATCTAGAATCCCCGCAAATGATTCATCAGTCTACAGTTCCTGGGAGGTGGGAAAGCTTCAGTGCTTCAAGTGGATCAAGGAGCAGTTCTCTGGGGCCGAGGCCCGATTCTGTGTGATCGGAGATGGACCGGAAGAGTGCGGAGCAGCTGAGATCATGCGGTGGCCCTTCGTCAAGATCGACCTGCATCCGAGTGGAAGCGGCCATCGATTCCCCGGGTTGACTTTGAAGATGCTGGGCTACTACATGGACGCTGTGTATGGGGGATCCGAATCTGAAAAGTCCGAAGGAGAGTGAGCACATGCGCAGCAAGCACTAGTGTTTAAAGACCATTTATTCTCGTCTCTGATTGGTTGACAGCGGGAGGTCAACCGACTCGTTGCCTTATGTAAGTTATAGCGATGTACATACGAGTACCCGTTGACTCCGGATTCTGGACTCGATGCCTTGAGGATGTTGCGTCACTCGTGGTCAACGGGGTTGGATGGCTTGGAGATGGAGATGGGAGCTGTTACTGGGCCTCATCAGCTTCATGGAATGTCTCCATTGGTCGAGCTTCTGGGGTAAAATCTTCAGGCTGGGTTGACTAGAGAGCGTGGGATTTTTGGTAGAACCATGGTCAACTCTTGTGTTCTTGCTGCCAGGCCAAGTTATCTAGTCCAACGCACTTGACCCTCTCTCTCTCCTTCTACCTCCCTCCCTCCTCTCCCTTTCCATGAACGGACGAGAGAGAGAGAGAGAGAGAGAGAGAGAGAGAGAGAGAGAGAGAGAGCAATGGGAAGCCTGAGGACGTCAAGAAGGTCAGAAAGTGCAACTTCAGTTGTGGGCCTAACTGGGCCGGGCCCAAAAAGGCATCAGGGTCATAACAGTATTTCATATAATTTAGGGTAGGTTAGTTCATTGAATCACTGTACGGGGGTATAAGCTGCAACTGCAAAACCTAACGGCTCCGTCTGCCTCGTTGTCACTTGCGAGCTCTGAACGAGAGCCCTTCCTCCGTTAGGTGTTGAAAGGTCAGAAAGGGGAAAACAAGGAGGGAAGCTCACACGGACCTGGATCTCTCTCCGTCAGAGCTCCCCTTCTTCTTCCCTCGTTCCACTTCTGGATCCCGAGCACACGGCGGCCTCCTCCTCAGATCCGGCGACTCCCAGAGCCCTAGATTTCTGAGGTAGGGCGGTCTTCTCCTCTGGTGAGGTCTTTTCCTCCTTGCCGGAGGTTGGGGCGTCCCTTCGTCGGCATCGGGGCAGCCTCGTCGGAGCGAGAGATCCCGCCGTTTTTTTCCTCTCCGGGGAGTGCTTGGCGGTGGCCCTGGGAGTTTCCAGATCCGGAGATGCCTGTGGCGGCGTCCGCCATATACTTTCTCAATCTCCGTGGAGATGTGCTCATCAATCGCCTCTACCGCGACGATGTCGGGTAGGTGCACTTGTTCTCTTTCTAGATTAATTTCGAGCTCGTCGAACATGCGAGTGGCGGTTCCAATTCCTTCTTTTTAATTCTCTGTGTGAAAGAAATCTCCGCACGATTTTTCCTCGTTTTCTTTAGGAAGGAGGGATTTGCGCCCGTGCCCTCTCAATGGACTTTTTGGCGGTGGATTAGTCGGTTTGGTTGATTAATTAGACATTTGATAGTTAGGGATTGCCATTCGGATTAGAATCCATCACCTTCTGTTTCGCGTTTTGGAATTGCATTGTTATTTGTCCCCACAGTTGTTGATGCCCTGCCACGTTCTTAAGAGTGCAGAGTTGACCACACAATGTTCAGTTCAGTTTCCTTGGATCTCTACTGCACATGTTGTCATAATTCTATCAATCTGAACTCACGAGCTATTATTGGTACTGTCCAGGTGCAAAGACTGTAGTATCCTTTGACACTACTACAGTGCCACGTAACTTCATTGCTAACTGAAAGCCCCATCCGGAACGCTTGACCCACGTGGCTATTCCTTATAACGCTTATGTGGGAATTACTTAATCGGGTTGGGTTGATTTTTACATTAGATGCCGAAGAGCAAAGAGCGAACACCAAGGTTTCAGATGAGTTTCAAACCAGGGGCTGTTGATTGGATTCTTTGGAAGGTTAAGTTGTGGTTTTGACCTAAACCTTTGGTTTTCCTGAGAGTAACTTCACCAAATAAAATTCGGTCGTGGTGGAATGATTAACAGGGTACTAAATTGTTGTCTAGTCCACATCTCGATTCTTAAAACCCTACTACAATATATCATGCTTATCATTTGTCCCAAGAAATGTGATTGATTCCCATGAAACCTACCATTTTAACGGGAAATAGTATTGAAAAATTCTCCAAATATATATTCTGTTTAGCTTGGAGTCTATCAATCCAGGCTCAGCCAATTCTTGCAAATCCAGCTATCATCCCCTGATAATAGATTTTCGCCAGCTGAGCTCAATCCAAACTGGTCGATCAAATTCGGATTGGTTGAATCCGCAGTCCACGCATGAAAGCCATTTTATGTTGTTTCCACTGGTTGTGCTGGTACTGGTAGAAAGTTGTCTTGTCAAGGGACCTAATAGAGTCAGTATAGATGATAGAAAGTTGTGATTATAATTCTCAAACGTCTGGTAACCTATTTTCCAGTTGTAGAATTTACTGTGGACCTTATTTTTATCTTTTCTCTCACTTGGGTACTCTGTATTTCTGACATTCTGTGGTTCTTGCAGTGGAAATATGGTGGATGCTTTCCGAATGCATATAATGCAGACAAAAGAACTTGGCACTTGTCCTGTTCGGCAGATTGGGGGTTGCTCCTTCTTCTATATGAGGATCAGCAATGTGTACCTTGTGATTGTTGTTAGCAGCAATGCCAATGTTGCATGTGCTTTCAAATTTGTTGTTGAGGTGAGAATTGTAAACTATAATTACGTTTACCGTTTATTTTTTATCATGTTGGACTGAGAATAGCAGTTGTCAACTAGCCTTCATCAGAATTATCCTTCCCCTTGCTTAGCTCTGTAAAAAATATCTTTACCAATTTAGTCAGATACTGAAAATACGAAGTTACATGAAAGAACTTATGCATGCGAGGGAAGGAAACGATATGTGTTGATCTTTGTAAATTCTGAGAGAGAAATGTGCTTTGGATACCAAATGAATTTATAATAGACGTGATGGATTGTCTTTCTTCATTTTCACGTGGAAAGTTTCAGAGTAGATATGACACATTTCTTTTTGGAAATGATTTTTGTGAAGCCACTGGAACTTGGTAAGTTTTCTTATTATTGACCTAGCAGACACAAGTTCTTCAAATCGTTCTTGTACTATTTAAACTGTCCATAGTTCTTTAATCATTTACTTCCTGTTCTTCCGTTTTATTTCCCCTTCTGATTAAGCTTTTCCTGGATTTCTAGAGTTTTATTTTATTTCAATGTCTTTGCGCTCACCTGGGAAATGACCTCTTCAGGAAGTAGGTATAAAGGTCTAAACCTCACCTAAGTATGAGTGAAGTAGCTCCTCAAAGACTTCGAGTCCTACCCGTTTCAAAGGAGTTGTGCTCATAATGCGATGCCAAGTCAACCATTGAACTTATGCTTATGCGCATATTCTTGTTCTCCGTTTCTTTTCTGTGGCACCTTTTTCAATTGGGTCTTCATTACTTTTTTTTCTCTATTCATTTTCCATGTTTGACCTTCTAGTGAAATCCTATAAATGCAAATCATGTCTTTTAGTATCTGTTGAGCACGAAGGAACTGAGTGTTTGAATTTGCCAAGTCTTACTTCAGAAAGAGGAAGATTTTCTATAATGGATAGCTTATTAAACGTGAGTACTAAACATGGATTAGGCAATATAAATACATTAGTCAACGTGTTGTCACGCTCCTTAGGATACTCGTGATAAGCACTAGGTATCAGCCAATGTTCATTTGGTAAAAAAATCCTCTTTTATTGCTGAATTGTTTTGAATGGATCTACTTGTTTAGCATCCAATGTGGAGCATGAAAAATTGTCACTTACATTCTAGCCTGTTACAAGGCAGGCACCGATGTGGAGCACGTCCTGAATATTTTCAGTTGATGCCATGCAGGCTACCAGATGTAAAATATATGCTTATTGTGCGTAATTTTTCTGGGTCATGGTTTTGACCCACCTTCTTTAGGATCTGTAGTCATCACGTCTCGAATTTTTTCTCGCCTCACTGTGTCTGTATATATTATTTGATTTTAGCTGTCGGGTTCAATAGCTAATCCAATTTGTATTTCTATTTATATTAGTGCTTAACCGTAATCATCTATCCAATTTGGCTGCTAATTAGTTTTTATTTCAGTTAGCTGAAGGGATTTTCCCTGTCTACCACTATTATTTCTGTTTTTTTAAGAGAAGACAAGCGTTAACCTTTGTGTAATCTGTGATCAGGCTGTTGCACTTTTTAAATCTTACTTTGGGGGACAGTTTGATGAAGATTCAATCCGGAATAATTTTGTTTTGATATATGAACTTCTAGATGGTAAGCTCCTTGGTTTTTCTTCTAGAGTTTGATATATGAACTCCTTGGTTTTATTTGGAAGCAATGAAATCTTCAAAGGAGCTGTTTAAAGCTTACCAATTGTGAATAGTAGAGGAATTTCTTGAGTACAATAAGACATTGAGCTTGTTATATAATTCCTGATTAAGTGCGCTATCTTTTTTTAAATGTTGCGCTTTTCCCAGATCCTAAATCAGAAATAATATAGGGGACAAGCCTCCCCTATATGAAGACCACTAATCCCTGCTTTTGTTCCCAGAGTTATTCTTCTTTAGCCTTTGTGAATTAAATTGCACTACGGCTCCCCCTTCCTCTCATTGTTTTTGAGAAAAATCTGTGAATTCTTTCCTCTTATTTTATTCTCATGCTATACAGAGAAATATTGTATGTATCCAAGATAGTTATTTATTGCCATAGAGTTTGTTTAGATCACTCTCTAAGAAATAAAATGTCGGATATCCAAACATGCAGCCTCTATTAGATGCATCAAGAGTAGTGGCCCCTAGTATTCTCAGCTACCTAAATCCACATACCCACCATGGGACCCAATTAAAACATAGGTACAAACTTGAGCTGTTGTCACCATATGCCCTGAATTCAATAAACCGATCTAATCTGTGGCCAACGACTGAAAGGAAATCGAATTCTTCTGGGTATTTGTCCTGAGTTATCAGCCAGTGAGTTGTACAACCAAAGTAATTTAATATCTTATATGCATGGCGCTTAGGACAAGCTTCTCCTTATTCAGTTATGCTACCTTATTTTTATTTTCTAAGGTGTATATTGTCACTAGGGGGGTGAATAGAGTTTTTCGTATAGTTTCTACCGGGGTGAAAAAATGGACAAACCTCTTTATAATGAGAAAGGAGATAATTCTTGCATTCTGAGAGTCTTGAATTTATAGAAACATTGTAGACCATCTTTTTTTTTTTGGCTCCTGTATAGGAGCGTCTTATTTTTTAAAATCTTGTTGTATAATTGTGTATACTCTTTTTCTTATTTTTCATCTTTAGTTAATACATGGACTGCCCACTTTCAAAACAATATTGGTATGGGTGTAGCAATATAATTACTGATATTTTATGGGCATAAAAAAATGTGAGTTCTAGTTTGAAAATTGTAGTAAATATTAACGTATGATTTGTGTTAACTTTGTATTTTTCCTTATGCGATAGAAATTATGGATTTTGGATACCCACAAAATCTGTCACCTGAGATATTGAAACTTTACATCACTCAAGAAGGGGTTCGATCTCCATTCTCATCTAAGGTCAGACTCGTGTTGTAATGCTGTCATCATCATGTCTTTTTTCAATAGGTTTCAATGTGCTTTGCTTTTCTGCATTTGCTTCTTGATTTATTTTTTTTAATGGTGCCTCTAAATGGGTAGCCTACGGACAAGCCAGTACCAAATGCAACTCTTCAAGTAACAGGAGCTGTTGGTTGGAGACGAGAGGGCCTTGTCTACAAGAAAAATGAGGTTATAGGAAGTTTCCTTTTGCGATTTGTTATTTTGATGAGTAGAAGCCAATATCCTTATCTCTTGCATTCAGGTTTTCCTGGACATTGTCGAAAGTGTAAACCTCCTCATGTCTTCCAAGGGTATGAATGATTTTTAATATTTTGATTCCCTTTGTTGGAGATAATGAGTGCTCTTTTTTCATTCGAAACATAACCATTTTCTAAAATACTTTCATGTGCGCAGGCAGTGTTCTACGTTGTGATGTTACTGGAAAGATCCTGATGAAATGCTTCCTCTCTGGGATGCCTGACCTAAAGCTAGGCTTAAATGATAAAGTTGGTCTTGAAAAGGAATCGCAACTTAAATCAAGACCTGCTAAGAGGTACATATGCATCATTTTTTAAACTGTGCACATTGTATGTACAAAATATTGAACCGATTACTAATCGTAAATGATATATTGAATAATTATTAAAGGATGCGTATATCAATTTTCTTCACTTTCGATATTTAATGTTCGTTAGACGTATTAGTAGATGCAGAAGATCCATTTTTGAAGGCAATAGACAAGTCTATTCTTTCATTAGTTTTGGTTACTTGTTTTTTATTTTTGCAAATAAAATATATACTTCATAATACAGACTCCATAAATTATTTGTTGTTCGATGTGAAACGAAAATGGAAATGGGTTGAAATAAAAAAAATTGTCAGATAACCATTATCCCTTTCTAGGAACTCCTACTTATCATGTTTACAAAACAATAAACATGCTAATTCGGCTCAACGTACAACCTCTTGTATGCCATGGACCCAATAAACTGTGACAATTTGTGTGACGATGCGTCATTGATGCAGTTCTGAGTTCCAACAATGGTGCAGTTTTCCAATAGCCTTTCAGCCTAAAGGGATGAGAGGTCTGTTAATGACATTTAATGTGGAGGAGTTTTATTATTCTAATGCGCTCCTCTTTCCTGAAATTTTCTTGATGATGAGATACATCAACATGCGTACCTGAGTTGACAATCGTATATCCCCCAAGATGATTTGATTTTAGTACTTCATATCTACAAATTGTTTAAAGCTAATCGTGTCTATAACAGTGTAAGAGAGTTTCAATTACATTCAATGCAGGCATTCATTATCTGAAATCAGCTGTTATTTTTGGAAAGAATTTCGTGTTTTGGTGTACCAATTATTCACAGTTGCTGGTTTTGATGCCCTAACTGTTTCACTTGATATTCGTTTGATGTTTTCAGCGGAAAAACTATTGAACTTGATGATGTTACCTTCCATCAATGTGTAAACCTGACGAGGTTCAACTCTGAAAAGACAGTTAGTTTTGTGCCACCAGATGGAGAATTCGAATTGATGAAGTAAACTCTCTGTTCCTTGTTTTTCTATTTTTACTTGTTATGTGCCTTAGTGTGGATTGTAAAAATGAATGCTTTCTCCCGTACCACCAGCACCATGAATCATATGCTCAACTTTTCTGAACCTTGTTTGCTGTTTCCATATTTCATACCTCTTGTTTATGCATATCGGACTTTGACACGTTTAATCCTCCTTTATGTCCATATGTTTCTTCTCTCTCCGAGAAGATGAAAATAATCGATAAACTTGCCACATAAATTTTTCTGACGCAGTAATAGGCAAACTATACTCTTCAGTTGGCTCCAAAATTTAATATGAACTCGACACTGCTTGAAAGAAACCAGAACCTGTATCTCATTGTTATGATGTAAAGAGTAAGTCGTTTTTTTATTTAAACATTTTCGTTCATTTATTCTATTGATCTTTATTTTTTTATTCTATCTTCCCAGTCCAGGGAGCTTAGTTTCAAACATTCCTGTATATTATTTTATAGTTTCTTTGATTTGATGATGGATTAGTTACTTGAGCCGTGATGGTGATGTATGTTATGAAGAGCAATAAGAATGATCATTTTCTTGATTGTCTTCATGCTACTGATGTTGTCGCCAAAACTGTGCAATGAGATAATGGAGAAAAGAAGAGTAGCACTTGGGACACCTAACCTTTGACTGTAATATCCTTATTGCATTGCCTATGAGAGCTTGCCAAAAAGATGAGCTGGAAAAGCAAGTCCTAGGTAAAATTTGGGTCTGGGATGGGTTCCGATCTTTCAAGCAAAAATTTGGACCTGGGCCTTTCAGAATTATAATTGACTCAGCTGAATGACCCAAAACATCTCAGGCCTATTTGCAAACTAGGAAATTAGGGACGAGTTAGAACGTTTTGACAACATGTTCTGTCAGATACAGGTGATTTTGGGTCATCTAACTTACGATCATTTTGAAATTGGGGCAGTGCAATCCAACCTCGGGAAAAATGAGGCCTGTTGGTATCAAATGTGATAGTGTCCCATAATCATGAGGAGGCAACTTCTTGTTTTCTCTTCTTTCGCCTTTCGGTTCTGCGCCTTTCTATTGAGTGTTTTCTTGCCAGTGTTCAGTACCGAGATATTTGATCATCATTCCATTGTTCTTTTGTTCATGATCCACTCGCCACTCCCCTGCTCCTTCACTCCCAATTTGTTTAATCCCATCCTTTAAGACTACTACGTCCTTCCCATCTATTTGTTCTTCATACGCTCTTTCTTTCAATTTTTGCATCTTTGCATTAGAAGCCATACAATTGCGGGCAGGTTTTTCCCTCCTTTTTCTTTTCCTTTTATAGTAAAAGCCGCCACATTGCTTGCACTTCCTCCCTTCTGCTTTCCCTTCAACTTTTTCTGTCCTCCAGTGGAGGTCGTCAAATACTCTTTAGATGTTGGAAGACGCATAATGATTCACATTTACGTATTTATTTGCCTGGCATCGCCAATTTCCTCTGCTTTTTACGTTTCAACATTGTTTTGAACTTGGGGTTGTCTGAGCATTGATTTAGGTTATTTTTAAATGTACAAGTGGTGATGATTTATGCGATGGAAAAATGGAAAAACTGCAGAAGATTATGCGTTCATTTCCTAAAGAACATTCATTTGGCCATTGGAATGGAATCTCGAGTCCCAGACTTGAAATCATATCTGGTAACAAACAGCTTGTCCATTGATGTTAAGCTTCTCATTGCCGCTATTTTGCTTGAAAAATACCCAAGTCTCCAATCTAGGTTCAGAGGTGATGGATCAATCCTTTGATAGATAAATAATGTGATGGGCTGAGTATATCGTGTACAATCAATTCCCTATCTTTTCTAAACATTGACACTGGCGCATAGTTTTTTCTGCTGTCTTCAATTGCTTCAATTTTTTTATATTTTTTTGGTTTCATGTATCTACTGAAAGGCGCCACGTGAGAGTTTAGATCCAGTAGGGAGCCAATCAATTTAGAGGGTTCTGTTGTCTTTATTAACTTTGCCAAATCAGTTGATTCAGATCAGAATTGGGGTTTCTGGTCGTGTTAAACGGGGAATTGATCCTTTTCGGAAATTTTCAATTTAGGGTGGAATAAATCAGCTGACCCCACTTGGATCAGCCAATCAAGGGTATCCTGCCATTTTTCTATACAAGTTGGAGATTGCAGACTGCTGCTCATTGGAACCCTAAAAGGTTGCCTTAACTGGGAATTTTATAGATTGAAAGATAAGGCACTATTGATGCCAAATAAATAAATAAATAAATAAATCTGGGCAGTGCAACAAAGTGGCATGAGGTGATGGATAAGCAAAAGATGCATTTGTTCTTGCTGAAGAAAATCATGATAACATTTATTTATGACTTCACTCTATTTTTTCATAGATCTTCAGTGACGAGTCAAAGATATACTGGTTAAAGATTGAACCTCGCTTTCTGTCGTGAACAGTGGCACAAACCCTAGAAGGATACGCAGAGGAAAAAGTCAACCCGTATTCACATCGTAGATGACTGTCATATACAAGTATCAGGAAATGAACCAACAATCTAGGAAACAGTCCGACTACGAACTGAAGTCCTAATTATGCGTTCTTTCCCACACTTTGCGTACCAACTCATTGCATCGTATCTGTCAATCATGAATTAGAGCAGAGAATTCATGTGCACTCCCCTTAGTGTTTGGTGATACCAGCGTTGAATGCTAACGAGCTGGCACATTTTAGCCTCATGAAAAGAATTCCTTTTCCCCATCTTTCTAAAAATGCCATGAATTTTCTCAGGTACAGGATTACTGAGGGCGTGAATCTACCGTTTAGAGTCTTGCCAACAATCAAGGAGTTGGGTCGAACCCGCATGGAAGTCAACGTTAAGGTACGTAATTAATATGAAGTGCTGAAAAACCTATTAATTTTCGCCAATCTTCTAACCCCTATCACCTGGCAGGTCAAGAGTGTTTTCGGCGCAAAAATGTTTGCACTGGGGGTTGTGGTTAAGGTTCCTGTGCCGAAGCAGACTGCTAAAACAAGCTTTCAAGTGACTTCTGGTCGAGCCAAGTACAATGCGGCTCTCAACTGCATTGTCTGGAAGTGAGCTGCTTCTTGTTTCCTACTTTGCCTATCCATGTTGAGATATGTTCTATCTTGTTCAAGTGTGTTGACCATTTGTCATCTGTCGATTTGCTGATTCATGAATACCTTCAAACATCTACAATATCATAATCCTGCACATCCGGAGGGAAAATCTAGATCACCTAAAGATAATCCAGTAGTGACATCTATTTTTATTTTTTTTCTAATTCAGGAAATGGCTCTGATCTATGACCACTTCTTGGTATAAATTCTCGAATCCTGAACGAATTAGTCTGACCATACATTTTTCCATTTATGTTGATGTTCTACTCTCATTAACGCTGGCTGATACTTCCTACTTGCATATATGTTTTAATTTTTGACCTGCTGATTAATCACGAGGCCCAAGCATTTGTTTTCTGGTCGGTATCTAATAATCGTTCCAAAAAAATTCATTGCAGGATCAGAAAGTTCCCAGGTCAAACGGAGTCAACCATGAGCGCAGAGGTCGAGCTGATCTCCACGATGGCAGAAAAGAAATCCTCCACTAAGCCTCCAATTCAAATGGAGTTCCAGGTTCCAGAGAACTTGATATCTTCTTCTAGCACCTGTTTTTCTGCTCCGTTCAGGAATCGCTTACATTTTCTTCTCCCAATCATGAAACCGGGCTGCTGTTATGAACTTACGCTACCGAAGTCAGCCCTGAATCCATCTGGGCCCCATTCTTCACGAGCAATACGGAAATCTGTGGCTACCCAGATTCTTACCATGAGAAAAAGATTTGCTTATGCTCCTCCGTGTTGTTTCTTTTGCTTGCAGCTGACCAGCTCTTGCCATTTCTGTCTCCGCAGGTACCCATGTTCACTGCATCAGGTCTGCGGGTCAGGTTCCTCAAGGTACGCCCATTGCTTTCACTTGCTCATACTCAGTAGTTAGAGAGAGAGAGAGAGAGAGAGAGAGAGAGAGAGAGAGGGAGAGCTGACTGGAAGTCAAAACGCTGCAGGTCTGGGAAAAGAGTGGATACAACACAGTGGAGTGGGTCCGGTACATCACCAAGGCCGGGTCATACGAGATCCGGTGCTGAAGCCCATCCGGAGGCTCTTGGCTCAGCTGATAACCTCGCCAAACCCTACGAACCGGAGCCGGAAAGCTGTACAGCGCCCGTTGACCACCCTTCGAATGGAGCGGTGGATCTTCCCTTTACCAATTTAGAGTGTGATCGTCCTGTAAAGAATGTTCAGAGAGAGAAAGAGAGATTGAGGCGGCCCACCAGCCGCCGCAAGGGATGCTGGCGTGAGGGGAGGAGGGCTGGGAAGTGCAAAGTCAAATTTTAGTGGGAGAACGTCCCCCATTAATTCTTATTGTATTCATTTTCCCTCTGTTTTGGTACTCGTTGACCAGAGCCCTCCTCCAGCTTCTTCTCTGTGCGCCGTCGCCTTTTCTGGTTTCCGACTTCGATTCTCCGAGACCATCCGTCCTTCAATGTCAACGTGAACCACCTCCGAGCAAGGCCAGCTCACACGGAACTCAGCGCCGCCAAGCGGCGGCGCATTCGATCGTGTAATGTTCTGACAATCGGAATGTCAACGCGAGAAGCTCCGTCATGATCTCAAAGAGTCAGAAATGTAAGCCCGGAAGAAGAGTAGGCCAGTGTAGTGTTAGGGATCTCCTCGTTGATCCATGAGTAGAAGACATCTGAAATAACAGTTGGGCCCAAAAGCTTGGTCGGATTTGTGAGGGTGAAGGAGGGGACTGAGAAGGGGCGGCTCTCCAGGGTTGAGAAAGAGCCCAAGTCAAAGGCCAAGCCCCCCTCCCCCGCCACAGCTTCCTTCCCCTTCGTGGTTCAGGCGCCGCCCAAGCTGCTACCTCCGACAATGCCAGCCGGCAGGTATGCGAACATCTGTCTCTGTCTGTCTGTCTCTCTCTCTCTCTCTCGCTCTCCTTCTTACCCCCCCGTTTTTCTGTCTTGCTCTCTCTCTCTCTCTCTCTATCTCTCTCTCTCTATCTCTCGCTCTCCTTCTCACCCCCCATTTCTCTTGCTCTCGCCCTCTCTTCTTACACACATACTCCCCCCCCCCTCCCCCGCGCCCCCTTCTCTCTCTCTCTCTCTCTCTCCTTCTTACCCTGCCGTTTTTTCTGTCTTTCTCCCTCCCTCTCTCCCTCTCTCTCACACACAGACTTACTTCCCTCTCCCACTCATCCCCTCCGACCTCTCTCATTAGTTTCCTACGCATTTTTTCAGCCTCGTCTCCAGAACAAGAACGAAAACTCTCTCTCTCTCTCTCTCTTTCTCTCTCTCTCTCTCTTTCTCTCTCTCTCTCTCTCTCTCTCGCGAGAAACCTCAAAAAGGCCACTTCTCTGGTAAGGCATCAATGAGACGCCATGACGATTCTACATAACTGTGGATGTCACATGTATCCCCCGCGGTCACCCCCAATTGCCCTCCATGAGAGTAAGTTTCTCAAGAGACGGGAGACGGGATCCAAACAAGATCACCATCTATTCAAACACCAAGATTATATACCTAGAAATCTGAATCTCTACGACCCATTTTAGTTAGCTTATAAAATCTCTTCTGCCCACAGTTCGATTCGAGGGTCCTTCCCGTGGGGAGACGGCCACAGATTGTTCACCTCGCTAAATCAACCTTCCTCTTCCCTAAATCCCGATCTGTATGTGCATTCAGAAAACATGGGCCCTCCAGCGATGGCTGTCTTCGCGAGTACGAGGAGGGCATTCCCTGGTTCTTCAGACGTGTGGTTCCCCAAGGTGTTCCCCAGAAAAAACCCTAATTTCGTTGTACGGTTTATGCAGCTGCTTATATCGCATTCATACCATGTAAGAAAGCGCGTTTGAGGTCTAGGAAACCTAATCTCCCTCAGATACTAGTCCAAGGAGAGCGAAAGACCGAGACTACCGAGACAGCCGCGAACTACGGGATTTGAGAAGTGAAGGAATGAGAAGCGAGGATCGTGCATGCAGGACGTCAGGAGGCATCCCCCCTGGTGATCAGATGCTCCCTCTTGAAGGCTTTTAACCTGCGCTGTGATGATCAAATACTTAGGTCTTCCAGTTGCTTCCGTCTTGAACCCGCAAACTCAGATGCTCGCAGAAGCAGCTCTCCACTCGCTGGTTCGGCGAATTCAGTGGACTCATTCAAGCGCATCTCCTTTACACTCCTTCAGGAGTGCACTCGTATTTGTTCAAGGAGCTTTAGAAGATATGATTAAATAGCTTCTGCTGTATTTTATACCGGTCTCGAGCCAAACAGCCTGATTCTTTGAGGCATCATGACAGTCCTTGCAGCAATCAGAAAGACTGTCGAAAGAACTGCAGTTATAAACTGCTGATCCTCTCGAAGTGGGGGATCTGTTCTTTCTCAGAGGAGTGCCGGAGGAACCCTAGCAAGGGAAGGAAAAAAAATATGACCTTACTCATCGAGAGAGATCCCAACTCAATGAGACTGACAGAAGAATTAGGGTTTGTGGGTGAAGCCCACAGAGTACATGATTGACAACAGCAGAGATCCCCGATTTACATAAATATTCTCGTTATATCAGGGATTAAGACCCCTAATACTAGGAGAATCTATACAGCAACATAAACTTAGGGTTTGGGACTAAAACATTCAACTGTGAATCCCACAAGGACTGGGAGAAGGGTGAGCCGGAGAAGAGACTGGGCTCTAAAAAGTTGACGACCAATTATAATCCTCGAATCAAACGGCATCGGATACGGAAGAAAAAAATTGTTTTGACGATTGAGGGTATCTAGGCCTTAAAAGACTAACCGGAAGCCCAAATACTTGGACCTGCTGAGCGAACAATACAGCCACAATGGAAGCAGAATATGATTCCTCCTGGCAAAGCGTTTGAACTCAGTGAGGAGAGAGTGCCATGGAGGAGTCTGAGAGAGGAAATTAGAGAGAGGCGACGGGATCAGCATCTCACGTTGCTGTTCTTACATCCAGGATGGAACCCTTCCATGTTCTGACATCAATCGGGACAAGCACACAAGGATTGTTTTCGTTCGAACAGAAATACAACTGGACGTGATCACTTTGGATGGCTAACCTTCCTAGATTAGCGAAGATACGAGGTTTTCTCCGAGCACTATCAAATAAATTCAAGCCTTTTGAATTATATACGTTCTGATTTCGACAAAACAAACATTCAAATTGGACAGACCGCAAGAAAAGGTCTATGTTACGTATCATTGATAATCTTAATGAAATACAGTGGAAAGATGCTAATCATGAAGAAGATGATGATGATGATATCTAAGCCACGGAAAACCTTTTACGTTCTTAGTTCAATGAATTCTACTATCCAATGCATCTGTCTAACCTTAAACTTGGATGATAGGGGTTTCAATGAGGAGTCTTTAGCCGTGATCTTAGTTCTTGGTTTCTTATTACGACCAAGGAGTTGGAAGGATGCGCTATCGATATTAGATCTCGCAAAAAAAATCTACATCTTCTTTTAATCAATGTTTCATTCAGGGGCATAAACCGTTTGTTTATTCAATGGAATTTACGTTTTTTAATTAATGAAAACCCGTCACGATAGCAAGATAATATCAACAATATTAACCGCACAATACTAAACAAAGTTATCACCAATATTGCTCATTATTTCAATTAGACCAAGGTTATTGTGAGAAAATTCAATGCAAGGACAATGTCATATAAGAGTGTACAGATTTTAAACAATATCCCAACCTCCTACCTCAAACTCCTCAACATTACATTTATTCCAATACATATATCAAGCATGATAGCTGAACTTCGGGATTGTAGGAAAAATTTACTGTACCTTGACCAAACCACTCTAAAATACCATATGGGTTACTAAATTCTTAACTTGTATAGGTTGCGAGAAAGACACTGAAAAATGGGAATCAAGGTACTGAAAGAAAAGATTTAAAGAGAGACACTTTTTATCTGTTGAAAACACTTTTGGAACTTCCAGGGGTTATCAAACGACAGCTTCTGAATGGACAATCAAAGACATAGACATCCGCTAGCTAGGTTTCCAAAGAACACTGGCTGGCAAACCACGGATTTAATAAGTTTCGATCTATATCCTAAGTCTACATACTAGAACCCTACATATTCATTATATCTACTCCAATATTTCAATAAAAACTAAACATAACCAAAATAATAGCGTTAGTATATTATATAATTAAGAGAACAATAGACTATACTGGTTATATTATCGTAACTGTTGGTAATTATTACACTTAGGATCCAAAATAGCAGTCTCCATGTTAATGCCTTTCTTCCAAGAGGAAAATGCATAAAATAAACCACGAATAACTTTTCTCTTCAGTACTTAATGCTTGCCAAGAGGAAAATATTTCATGTAATTAAGGCGTGAAAATGCTTTTCTCGAGTTGTAACTCTAGTCATTACGGCTGACCAGATTGGTGAACATGTTGTCTGAATTATTATTTCTTGTAATCTTCCACATCAGTTCTCTGATCATCATCTCAGGTACGAGTAATTGATTTCAGGTTGATTGTAATCAAACTTGCTTCATAAATATGTCCTAATTATTATCATTAAAATTTCTTTTTCAACGAATCAATGTTCATCGATTCATTATTCATAACTAGGCAATTAAAAAAATGGCACTGAATTTGAGATGAAAGGTTCAATTGGAACTTTATCGGGCAAATGTCTTTCCTTCTTTCCTGAAACCTTCCTAGGAGCCACGTTGCAACGTTTTGCCATTTCTCATCAGTACTAAACGATCGCAATGAAACAAACACGGAAACAAAGGCTTCGGATCATGGTTCCTCATTCATTTTCTATAAAAGTCTAAATATCACTCATTTGCACTAAAGTAATACAACTCTTTGTACACTGGTGGAAGCGACATACCGGATTGTGGTTTCTAAAATCCAACGCTCACATCTCTACAGAGAAAAACACAGAATGCATTCCGATTAGCTTTTCGATCTCTTTCCTTATTTTATCATCCACATCTATCGAACTCCAGGTTTCAACCTTATTCCTAACTCAATTACTACGTAAGTATATATACCTCCATGCATGAACCATGAAAAAGAGGAATACGTGGAGGTATATCGAGGGGAAGCTGTGACATTGTTTTCATTCGTACATTTACTTTGATGGGAAATAAAATGAGTGCTTGAGCATCATCCAAGATTTCTAAGATAAATCAGACAGGAATGGTACTACCCCAGAGACCTAATATTTCTACGAGTGTTATGATACCTCAGATCGAACTGCTGCACCTCAAAGAACTTCTTATTTATTTGTCAACCTTTTGACCAACCTATTATTTACTTGTATGATCCTTTTCAGGTTTAGAGCTGGCTTGGAAGAGATTTGTCTTAAATATGATTCCAAATGCCTTCAGTCATTCCATGAGTGTCTCCAGAAATATGTTTCAAAATCATGGATGTGCGAGAGATATTTCTAGTTGATGTTTTGGGTTGAAGAACAGTTGAGTTAAAACTATTTGGACACTGTCTGGAGAGACCAAGCATGCTGCATCTAGTCATTTCTCTATGGCTAACAAGGTCGTACCAAAGGAAGAAGCGTACGAGGGATTGGAGCACCTAGGAGATTATCGGACGGTGTCTTAGAAATTTCCATTTTCAGACCAATCAAGAGAATATGGACGCTCCTAAAACTGACAAATTAATCCTCAAAACTTTATAGATAAGATTGGCCACTGCTAGCACATCTAAGTCACCTACGGAAGATATTTATCTCTTGATGGATGGACATGATCGTCAATACGAGAGTGAACATCCGCACCGATATCAGAATCCGTTTTGGAAATGACAGTATGGATGTCGAGATACACGTCGTTCTCAGGTGGAGAACTCTCATGAAGAAGTGTGAGATATGAAGCTCGACAGGGATCACTGGGTTTTTTAGGCCTGAAGGCTCGTTATCGTCAGTGCAGCTCAGCCGAATTTTCTCTCCCCGAAGTACGAGGGAGACCCGACGTTTTAGGTTTCAGATAGCTGTAGAAGCCGAGGATGAGGATATAAAAAGAAAACGGATTCCGAGATCCGACTAAGAGCTCTGTGGTCTTGGGAACGAGAAGCCGGAAAGAAATTCCCAAGGAAGAAGAAAGGAGTAGATTCATAAACTCCACCGATGCGTTTGCGCGTTCGTTGTCTGAAGAAACTGCGCTAACTTTAGACTCGGATCGACTCTATTATCCCGATGCTTCGAGGAGGGATAACCCAGACTTGAAGACTAACAAAGAAGACCGGATCAGGTGAAGTGGTCGAGTTGGTGTTAGTTTCACTGCTCGCGACAGATTCCACAAAAGAGAAGAACGTGAGCGAGAATTCCATGGGAGAAGTGCAACAGGCGGGTAGCCTCAAACCCCATTAAATTAGGAGATGAGAAGAGTTCACAACAACACAAAGGCAGGACCATGATCCGAGGAACAAGGAGATAGAACAATAAAACTAGGAGAACCATAACATCCAAAGGATGAAGGAGGAGGGGGAGAAGGAAACTAAAATTGTACATGAAATCCTGGAAGATGCTGACCTTTGGGAGCCCGTCCAAACTTGCTCAAATCTCTAATATCCTTCACTCCAACTTAAATTACACCGTAGATCTCCTGTGGTGTATTCGCCATCAGAAGGGCGGCCGGCCGCCGGCATTCCCCGCCCATCCGTGCCCGTCCACCGGCAGCTGGCAATTGGCCATGTTCAGCGGAAAATTGAAGAAAGGCAGCCCAGAAGACGGGTCCGGGAACGGGTTACCGACACCTCCCCCACTCCCACTGCCGCCGCCCCCACCGGCCGACGCTTGAGACACCGGCGGCTGCATAGGCACCGGCTCTTCTTCCTCCAGAGGAAGCCGCTCGTAGGCGACGTTGGTAAAGGAGGCTGCAATCACGATAACTGGTCCCGCAGCGATGAGAGGACCGACAACGTTTCCCCCCACGACCTGCCCCTGCCCGCCGGCGAGGAAGATGTTGAGGCTTGTTGCACCGGGAGGGGCCGGCGGAGGCAGGAAGGACCCAGAGAGGGAGAGGATCTCAAAGCGGCCCGGCAGTGTGACGATGGCCCCCACGGCGGCCGGCTGGCGGAGGCTGACGTTGGTCACGGTGCCGCTGCCGCTGAGGATGCAGATGCCGCGCTGGCGCCGGCGCGCGTATGTAGCAACGCAGTCGAAAACGTCGCAGCCGTTGCCGACCTCCAGGATGTGAGCTCGCAGGGTGTTGGGGCTCTCCTGGGTGATGATTACCGGCGGCTTCGGCTTGTTCTTGGAGCCCGGCGGGCGCCCACGTGGCCGCCGGGTCACGATGTCTCCTGGGCCAGTTCCGGCGGCCACAAGCTCCAGACCCTGGCTTGAGTCGTCTCTCTCAGCGCCGGCGAAGTTGCTTCCGCCGCCGCCGCCGCTGCGATTGCCGCCGCTGCTGTTGGCGGCGTTGCTGTTGTCGTCATCGGAGTCTGGGTTGTGGTGCTGCAGGTGAAGGTCAGGACGGTGGAGCTGTTGCATGTATCGGGAGGCGGTGCCTAGATCCAACCCCGCCATGCCCACATCAAAAGAAAGAAAAGAGCGAGGAGATTAAAAATATTGCGGGAAGAAAACAGGAAGAGGCTCGTTTTTTTTCTTCTTTCGATTTAAAAACCGGAGAGAAAAGTACGGGGAAAGATTTTAAAACTAGGGTTTCATCTATTTTTTGTCATTTAAAACTTGCGGCAGAGAAAAGCAGGCGAGAGGGAAAACTATGGAGGAGGAGGAGACAGGCGGAGGAAGAGCTGAGTCGGGCAGCTGGAGCTCCAACTCCTCCCGTTGGGAAGAGCAATAGAAAAACGAGGACGGTCGAGTGAAGGGAAAGGGTAGTCGGAGAGAGAGACTGTCTGTGCGTGTGTGTGTGTGTGTGTGAGAGAGAGAGAGAGAGAGAGAGAGAGAGAGACAAAGTGGAGGGGAAGAGAGAACAGAGAGCTAACGAGAGAAGGAAATGCGGCTGTTCCCCATAGCCGTTGATTAACAAATACAACACAGGTGTGTGTGAGAGAGAGAGAGAGAGGAGAGAGGGAGAGAGAGTCTACGCACTACGATAGGGTGAAGAAAGGGACCGGAGGTTTTGGGGGGGGGGGAGGGGGGTGGGCGGGGTGTCATAGAGAGGAACAAATGGATGGGATCGAGGGAGGGTGAGCGTGTACAACGGGAGGCATGCGAGCCTGCCGCGTCAATGAGATTATTTAATCGATTAAACTATATGAAATGACATAATTGACGGTGATGTGGGAGCGCGTATTATTTTAATCTCCTCTTAACCATGGTTTACGTCGAGAGAGAGACATGACGGTTAACTATAGATCCCTGGGGTTTGACCTCGGGTTAGCCCTGCTGATGGAGGACGCGTGGGAGGGACGTCGCCGCGGCGGCTGGGCCCCACCCTACACCCCTTCGAGACCAAATAGGCGAGAGGATCGGCTCGTAGCCGGCGCAATGCCCCCTCGAGGAGATAACCGGCTCGGAGCTTCGACCAGCTTGACCGTTGACTAACGTGGGGTGGGGGGGACCACCGACGGGGACAGCCACCCCGATGGGTGAGATCGGTTTTGACTGTGTCAACGGAGAGCTGGGTGCGTTTCTTTCTTGCAAGGGGCCTACAGTTCACGGCACAATTACGGCTCTACCACGACCAATCAGGATTGGACGGTTGGAGAGAGAATCTCCGAATCGTTTTAGTAAGAAATAAGAAAACATGGGCTCCCCCTCCAAGGCCGTACTTCTCAGTCAACAACGCCGCTCAAGTTTTCCTAGTTTCTAGCATGCAAAAAATAAAGTTCTAAGGTGAAATTACATGTCATGCATTGCTCTTAGACGATTAAGTACAGTTTATTTAATCAAATATAAAGTGTAAACTTTATAAGTTCAGATGGTATCACTTTCGCATTAATTTTTTTCGAGCAAGACGTCTGCTATCATTGAGACGTGGGCCTAGCGTTGGATGACTAAAAGTACGAGCAAAGAGCCTAGCTTACAATAATTTTTTTATGTTTCCGATAAATGATTAAAAAAGGGAAAGAAAACATTCTAGAAACAAGCCACACAACGTTGGAAGAGATGAGTAGGAGAAAGGTATGAGCACGAACTTATATTATTAAGATTATCCATACCAAATCGCATGTATTTAATTCTTTCATCATCTAAACAATATAACAAAATCAATTTGGGGTAGAACATTCCATCTAGGCGTGAAAAGACATTTCATTGGTCATACCTAAAATGACTAAAATGTCTTGAATGAATACAATAAACATATTTTCCACTAGGTTGAAAGTATATCCATTTTAAATAGCATGGGTATGAGATACAAGGATAAAAATATCTGTGTCAACTAAAAAATGCCAAAGAGCCTTTGTAAATCAACCATATGTAAGCATATGCCTATTTGGTACGAGTAATCATTTAAGGGTCAATGTATTTAGCTATGGACATCATTAAATAGTCAAACATGTTGACGAGCACTTTCCTACGAAGCAAAAGCCACTGATTTCAATACATGCACCACCAGTCAACCCCAATTTAATGCACATATCTAAAATCTTTGTCGAAAGGATGGGGAACCAAAGAATAAAAAAAGGGAAATTTTGGTTAAGAAAAAGAAACTCAATTAGAAAATCGGTGCATGCAGAAAGTGTTCAGAAATAATAGGAAGGTTGTGGTAGATAAAGGAACGAAATGAATAGTGATATTAAGCAAGCTCATGAATAGCAGTATAACTAAACCTTCAGGTTAAAAGTTGCCAAGAAAAGGGTGGGATTTCCAAAATCCTGCTCCATTCCTGTTGATTTCCCAACATTTGCCACGCATAATAATCCCGAAATCTTAACCCATACTGCATGCCATTCAACGATCCGTGCCTAAACCTATAGATTAGGCATGCATGCCTTCTGGCTCTTTAGATCCTCTAGATCCGCAAGCTCTTTAGATGCTTCTGGCTCGCGAGGGGACACTTCCATCGTTTCACCCGTTTGAATGATAATTATAATCTCGGCGACGTTATATCTACCGCAAAAAGCTCAATCGATCGCTTTTCTCGGATTCCTTGTTATAATATTTGCCCATATAATGCGGGTACATCGTAGGGAATATAATAGAGCGCAGGATGATGACAATGGCTAATTGAGTCTGGTCGGGAGAATGGAGTCAGCTGCCTGTGGCGCTGCCGTGGTCATTCGTTCAAACAGTGGCGAACCGATGCCAGGAAGGCCTCCCGTTGGCTACTGTCCGGCCAAAATAGGAGCTTCCCGCTGGCTATTCTCAGTCTTGCGCGAGGACTAGCTGCTAAATCATACGTCCATTCATCTTCCTAGGACAATAACGAGAAGAGTTGAGACGGAAGTGATATCGTTGTAAACATGCGAGCCTCCGATTGGTTGTTATAAGTATCTTTGCAGAAAAAGCTGATGAACCATATCTGGTATCATACTTCATCTCTACGCAACAATCGGAAGTGGTAAACTGAGCACCAAACAATCTATATCTTGAGTGTATTTTTCTCCCTGGTATACAGCAAAAATGGGAGATTCGCTCCAGCTGGATCTTCTCGATCTCGCAGCAAGATTAGCTAGCAAGTCAGATGCGCATTTATTTGATATTTATTTCGGAAGCAGTCGTGGTAAGACTTGACTGAAGATGTTGAAGAGCGAAGAACCGATGCGATGAGCCCTTCGTATTCTGCCTTTTATAAAACTATATTGGGATCTCCTCTTCCCCTGGTTCTTCTCAATGTCGCCGAAAGACTAGGAAATAAATCAGACGGGCTGATAAAAACAGGGGTTACTTTTCTATTTTTCGATTGTCATTTCCCATGCATCAATGAGGGGAATTCCGTAAAAGGGAGGCCTCTTCTAGTGCATGGCTCGAACCCTATAGTAGCTCTTCGGCATGTTGTGTTTTAACTACTCCAATGGTGCCCGACATCCAAGTTCCAAATTATTGGCTTCCGACCGCATCTCCTATGGTCCTGGGCGGTCCCCGTCAAACAGATCGCTCCTCCCCAGCCTTGCTGACCTACCCCCCGGTGTGTTCGCCTCTCTTTCTCTCTCTCTCTCTCCAGATTCTCCTCTTTCAGGCCTCATCATGCTGGCAGGTCCAAACCTAATCCACGAGCATGCGGACGGTCAGTGCAGGGAAGACCCCACCGTCACTGTTGACGGCAAGGGGGGAGGACTCTGCCGTCCTCGGGATTCAACCCGCGGGGGGTTCCTCCGACTGCCCTTATCTGCGAGGTGCACCCCCGTTTATTGAAGGAATCTCATCTCTGAAGACCCACCAGACGGAGAGTGGATGATCTAGAGTGAGAAACAATGCAGTTGCGCAGTTGCCCTTAGCTGCGCGGTTCACTCCTGTTCACAAAAAGGAGAGGATGAAGCCCACTGACGACGATGCGTAAGTTAGAGCGAGAACCTACATTGGTAGGTGTCCGAGCAACCATCCTGCACACGGAGAATCAACTCTCAGTATATGTTAATGAAATTGGACGGTAGGGTTAGATGTCCGATGGCTATACCTCATCGACCTGCTACGTGGATGATCTTGGGGCGAAGTCGGATGAATCCCAGCCGCTAGATCAGCATCCGCACATGTATGCGATTCCTCTCAACCCTAAACTAAGCCCTATAAGGATGATTGGTGAGGGAGGAGGGGGCTTAATGCCGACAAAGTCTCTTGGCGATAAGGTTGCGTGCCCCTTGCGTTGTGGGGCCGGCTCTACCGGTGACGTCGCAAATTGGCGCGTAATCGCACCGCAGCCGCGACATAGACGGATCCAGAGAAGCCACCAAACCCCCACCGGAACTGAGCCGAGCCGATACGAACGGAGCCACGCCGCCGCTTGAGCCGCAAAGGAGGGCGGGGGGAGGGGGGGTTGATCACGTGAGAATGGGGTCTGGGTCTGGTCAAAGGCAGCGCGGGGGTCGAGCCCGGTGAGCTGTCGGCTGAGACCCTTTCGTCGGGAAGCGGTCAGAAGCCCGTAAAACCCGGGCAACCCCTCAGACGCACGCGTAGGCACCGATAAGCCTTCCCGAGCCACTCCTGCTCGTGCCCGCTGCTGGCCTTTCCGCCCCTCTCTCTCTCTCTCTCTCCCTCCCTCTATCCATGTTGCTCGTTTAAACTTTCCCTTCTCTCTCTCTCACTCTCTCTCTCGCGCGTGTGCTGCGAGAAGCATGGGATCTGAAACAGAGGGGGGCAGAGGGGAAACCTAAACCCTAGAAAAGTGATACAGGAATGGAGCCCGCGGGAAGCTGCCCCCTCCCCCGGGTTTTTAGGGCACCACGCTGCTTTCCCGGCTCATTTTCCAAGTGAATGACTCAACATCGTCCTCCCGGCAGCACTCAGACTGCGCCACATTAAACCCACGACTGCTACTACTACTGCTATCGGCGACATTAGATAACATCGGCTCCCCGGCAAGATCGCCCAAGGGTAGGGAATTAGGGTTCTTCAAGGGGCCACAACCACGTAACGGTGCCGAGTTGATGGGGACGTCGCCTTTGGACTTTAGCCGCAGCAGT